CTGGATTAACTGTCATTCATTTCACATTATTTCCCGTTGATCAGAGATATTGGCGTAGATGTTGCAAGACATCATTTTGATTTACTTATTTCTGCGGTAAGCAAACCCGAATAAAAGACATGCATTCGGTTTAATGCAATCCGTTTAAACCGTCTTGATCATCAGTGAACACATTTATTAACTCAGGTGGAAATTTGCGGAAATCTGTATTTTCCCAAACATCTTATTTTCTGCACAAATGTTTCGTATGCAAGCATTAATAAGAGCCCACAAAACCTCACTTTCATCTCATTTGTTATTTGCAGATTTATTTTCATATACTCTGTCTTTTATTCCGTGTTGTAGTTATAGTACTCATTCTTTTTATGTCTTTCTTTGTTTTGTTGTGTTTGATTGTTTCCATGCTGTAAAAATGGAGGATCATGGTTCAGTTAAAACCTGTACTTCATCCCCACTTTTCTTCATAAACCACCTCTCTCTCTCTCCCCCTCTCTCTCTCTCCCTCTATGTGCTACTTACTTGTCACTTACTGTAAATGTGGTAAATTGAATGGAAACATCTGGGCAGCCACGTTGTGACTAATCCCCCAAACCAGTGAGCAATAGGGGCTGGATGTATCCATGGTTGGTCTGTAACAAAGACACCCACTCCCACGGCTCTGCCCGAGCCAACATCTGAGACAGTGACTGTTTCAGCGAGTGTGGCTGTCGTATCGCTGTAATATGGAGGTATTCCGCCAGGCCGATATTAGGAAAGTACTCAGCCGAGCACGAGAGAGGGAAATTGTGTGTTTATGACATCGCTCCCCTGCAATAATCCATTACATGCTCAAATCCCGCAGGTCGTAGTGGTGAAGTTGACTCGGCCGCTGGTAAAGTGGATGGGGGACGTTTTTTAAACGGCACAGGAAACAAAAAGGGATTAGGTTGCCAGTTTTCTTTTTTTACCCAGTGACGTAAGTGCAAATGTGTGAGTATTACATGTAATACTTTGTCTGTGCGACACATAGTGTACTCCCCCATACAATCGTGGACTTAACTGGAAAATAAATGACCATTGACTTTCCTAATGGGGTGTTTTTTTGTTCTGATGGGCTTCGTGAAGCTCTGAGGCAAAGCTGAATCCCTGTGGATTAGATAGAAACGGGGGCCGAGGGGCAGGAAGTCACAGAGGAGCGAGGGTGCAAAAGGTGCTGCCTTAGCAGCAGCTGCTCAGTCCTGGGAACCGGCAAATCAGAGACCTGAAGAATTAAAAAGTGCCCCCGCTCTCAGGACCCCTTTGTTGATACCATAAGAGTCGGAGTGGTGTTGTTGTTGTTGCACTTCCAAGTGAAATAAGACGCCAAAATAATGAGTGGTGGGTTAGAGAGAGAGAGGGAGAGAGAGGAATTAGGATGGGTGAACATCAATTGGAAGAAAAATAAATAATCATTTCCATTGAGTGTTGCTGCGCAGACTATACGGTAACCCAGAGAGGATGAGAGCCGGGTCACCTGGCAGCGGATCGTGGAGCTGTTTGCCAAATACACACACACACACACACACACACACACACACAAGGACGGGTAAGTAAAGGAATGCGAGGTTAACAAGGTTGGCTTGTGAAGTGTGGGCATCCATGGCGAGCAGGACTGGAGCCCGGTGCCAGCGCCTGGAGCACGAGATGGGCCTCACCCGCCTGTGGCACTGGCAGCTAGTGATGCGGCGCCCGGCAGCGAGGGCACTGCCCACAAAGAGTCAGCAGGGGTTTAGGGTTGGGGAGCGGGGGGGGGCGGGGGTTGCTGGTCATGGCTGTGTCCCCGAATAACCCCTTGATGTCTCCTCGAAAATGCCACAAATGCCGTATCGCTAAATGAGCGGCGTTTGCATGAATCTTTTTTTTTTCCTCACGACCATAGTAGTGGGATTAAGTTGCCTCACTGCAGATTCAATTCTGGTCACAGTTTTACTCTTTTTTTTATCAGATTCCCACAAGTTGGAGATGAGATATGCTGACAGCTGCTGACCAAAACGGATGATGTGACTCACTCTCTCGCTCACACACACTCGCTCACACACACACTCATACATTCTTTCTCACCATTACACACGCATGGCTTTAGTCATGCATATTTCATCTTTTAAAAAGCAAAAACAAAATCGTACTTCCGTTTGACATGTAACTGCTTTTTAGTGCCATTGAACACAACTCCAACACAAAAGCTGTGTGATTCCCTAACAGGCCCTGTTAGGGAATGTTTAATTTTGCAGTGTGATGAGCAGTGGTATTTTAATCCACTGTCCCTTTCTTCTCTTTAAGACAAAGCTTTGCTTCTAAAAGGTTTAAACACCAATATCAATACAGCTATAACGTATATGATACGATATAATTAAGCTGTTCTATACTTCTAGTCCAGTTAGTTGCCAGTTTGTATCTCTCAAGTGAGATCATATAATATAGCACTAACATTATACTCTATAAGCTGCATAAATAAGTGAGTAAAAATGTTTCACAGAGTAATTGTTACTCGTTACTACCGGCCTCCGGTCAACTCAAATCTCGATGATTTAGTTAATTAATAGTCGGCGTCGAACAACCACTCGGTAAAGTTTTGTTCGAGAAGCACTGAGAACATATTTCCAGCTCTGCGCTGACTGTGTATACATGCACACAGACGGAGTGATCTTGTAAGCCAGTAGATTGATTTAATCAGCGTCCTCCTCTCAGCAGAGTTCTCGGATGTAGGCGTTTGAACAATAAAGCTGAATGAATCAACAAGATACTCTTTATACACCACTATGACGCAGAGAGAAACCCCCCGCTGGGATGAGCATGTGATCTCCAAATGATATTCCCACAAAACATTTTCTAATTGTGGAGGGTCGATGGCAAAATGGCCTGAACATCAAATAAAAGAAATTCCATCCACGCAAGGCAATATAGGCCCGATCATTTATACAAACGGAGATTTCTTTTCTCTTTGTGCTGTTTGATGTAGTTGTTTCTGTCGCACGTTATAGGCAATATATATTGGCCATTTTCAGGTTCATATTTTGTATTTTTGCTTTCTACTAGAACATAGAGTTTGCCCCCCCCCCCCACTCCCCAAGCATTACGATACTATACTTTTATACGTTATTTATTTACAATGTGGTCACCATTTCTGAATTAGAATATGAATTATTCACCTGTAGAGCCCATTTCTGTTACTCGTTGTTGCTGTTTTTGATGATTATGACACAACTGATAAAACCCCTATGTGCAGTTTTCATATACGCATATAACAACTAAATTAAACTTTATCTTGTTAAACTTCCAAAGAACAGTGTGTAGCAATAAGGGGGGCAAGGGGGGGTTATTGACATAATTTAAATATGGTATTAATGAGTATGTTTTCACTAAGCGTATAATCACCTGAAAATAGCAATTGACGTCTTTTCCGTTTCATATTTTTACATCCACACTGAATGTTATTAATTATTGTCAATGAATGTGACTCATTAGTACAGTGTGATTACAACATGATTTATCACATTGTGGGTCCTTTTTGTAGCCACCGTCTCCCTTCTCCTTGCTAATAGGTACTTACGGATGCTACTTGTGACTGAGCTTCAGAGTGCACACAGCTAATTACCGCTTCTCATTGTATTCCCTCCATTAGCATTACGTTAGTAAGCATGCAATTAATTACAAACCTAGTACAGGATTTAATGGTTTTTGATAAGGTACCAAAATTAATACTTCATACATTTGGACGCGAATGAAATTAATTGCCATAATCAATTTTAATACATCGCTTCACGCAGCGCTCAGATAAATTCCACTCTTTTGTTAATTGTTTATTTAGCATGTCGGAATTATGGCTTAAAAGCACGTTGTAAAATGTATTATTTCACTTTTTATTTTATTAAGGCAAGATTTTTTTTTGTTTGGGTTGGTGTGGGACCCTCATTCCATTGCAACCCCCCCCCCCTCTCTCTCTGCTGCCATCAGTCCTTCCTCCTTTCTTCCACACTCATTCCTCGCTCTTCCCCCCAGCGGACGTCATCGCGGTGGCTGTCCGGTCCCTGGTGTACCCTTTAACTGCTACAATGCGATGTTAAGCCACTCAGACACAGCTCCCTCTCAAACACACACACACACCGGAGGACTGTGGATTCACAGAGAAAGTCAATATTTGTACCGTACCTTCCCAACTATTTCCTCTCATGTGGTTTGAAGTTTTCATACTCTCTCTTATTCATTATTCTCTTGCAGGACGAGAGAAGGTGGCGAGTTGTAAAGTGGGTCACCCCTCTCCAGTAGTGGAGGAGGACTCTGTGGTGTGAGGCTGTTTGCCGCCTTAGGCGCCGGCATGACAGCAAAAAGAAAGCTGATGGACCTAAAGGGGCAATCGGAGGGGGGGGGGGCTACCTTGGCACCTCCTGTGTGAAGGAAGCAGTACAAATTATCATGCCACAGCTCGAGCTGGTATCAACAAAGTCGTCGTCAGTCTGCATCGCGGCTTGATTGCCTTTTTCTTTTTATGTGGCGTTCTGTCAAGACAACATTGGCAATTCATTACTACAATATTTTTCCCTTTGTGACTATGCGTATTGGCGTTATGCTCAAATGTTCTCCTTAGGGGTAGAAAACTCCTCCGAGCACGGCGGTCCAGGCCCAACCCCACGAGGGTCTGTCGTGCGGTTGGGGTGGGATTAGACGGGGTTAGCTAAGTGTAAGGTGGAGGGTTCAAAACGATTATTCACCGCACGTCATCGAAGAAGTCTTCTAAGAATAAAACCTATTTGCGGGTTTCGCTGTCTCCCTCTGTTGGTTCCAGGCAACTACTATGGGACCCCTAAGCCCCCCGCAGAGCCCAGCCCCGTGCAGCCGGACTTGGTGGACCAAGTCCTGTTTGACGAGGAATTTGACTCCGAGTCAAGCGAACCATACTCTGTCAGCAGATGACAGAAAGACAGCGTCGCACGAGAGAGAGACGACGAAGCTCGATGTCGAACGGCTTAGCTGGTGAGAATCGCCTGGTCTCTCTTTTACTGCTTCTGTGGTTCTAACAGCTAGTTATTGTGCAGCTTGTTTTTTCTTTCCTCTTTATCATTCTCTTCTCCGAACAAACATTGTGGTATAGCTGTTCAGTGTGCAAGGTCAGCACTAAATCGCAGCACTGCAAAGTCAAGAATCAGTCAAAGTGGCTGGCTGAGACCAACGGACGCAGTTCCTCGGTAAGACGGGTGGACTCGGTTGTTGCTTGATTGTCCTCACACGGCTCATGACACAAGCAAAATCTAAACATGGTTCAGCTAATGGAGAATAGTCCTCAATGTGGAAGCAGTTAGGAAACATCCAACCGCTGTGTTACTATTACGCTACACAATTTAAATAACAGTATACGGTCAGCGTTGCGGGCCAACATGTTACATGATAACTATAATGGCCCGCTTAAAGCAGAACAGTCTTCTGGCGCCTTGGCTTCCCCAGTTGGAGCGGGGGTCCCTCAGCTGATATGGCAGCAATGTCGGGCCTCTGACCCGTCGTGCTGCATGGCAGCGCCACGCCAGATGGTTTAGCCAAGTGAGCCACTCCACTCAAACAAAGACCCGGGGAATGGCCAAACGGCATGTGAGGATAACTGCTTCACAATTAGCAAGACCGAGCGTCTTGTCCATAATAAAACAAAGTAACTGCTAGGATTGCAAAGCATTTTAAACAATACGAGATGACTAAGAATTGTAATGCTGTGTGGCTTTATGACTTCATAAAATACAGTTACAACTTAATAAACAATGGTAATCTGCATGAAAATATAGGACAATGTGCTGATCCATTTTAACGACCTTGATCCGCGTGTGTTACAATACTGCACGAACCTTATCGAGCATCCGCAGGAAGGAGGGAAAGCAACTTCCCACTGAGACATTGGTTACATGTCGAGGGAGGAGGGTGACGCTTGTAAAAAAAAATAGCGAGCGTGCAACTGCTCATCCGACATCCAAAAGCAAAAGAGAGAAACGTTGTCAGAGACACATCATCTCTTTGGCCCTGGGCAGTAATGATGGCCCAGCCACAGAAAAACACTCTTTGTAGAAGGATGTCACTCTCAATTCTGTTACTCACGAGTTGTCGGATCTCCAATGCAGTTTGTGGATGTATGTAATAGTTACAGTGGTGAGGATGTATGTAAAATAGTCAGAGAAATGGATTATCACCATGTCATGCGTTATTGTTAGTTGCCACTTTCTGAAGCCCGCGTGCCTTAATCTGCGGCATTGATCATTTATTTAAGGGTTGAAAGCTGTTGTGCCCTCAAGCGAATGTCTGTATGTAGTCATAGTTATAATAGTTAGTCATAGTTTTAATAATAGTTTGACTTTATAAGTGCAAAAAAAGCCCCTCTGTGGTTCCATGATAAAAATAAAAACAAGAGGCCCCAATTTTCCCAAATCCAAAAAATGCCCATGGCTTCTTCCAGTCAACAGCTGTCTCTTCCCATTTCAATTATCCCAGCCAAACAGACTGGGCATTCAATGCCATTATGAAGCTGGGTCACACGCAGCCAGATGTAAACCTGCAGATAAGAGCATTGCACAGAAAGGCTCTCACACACACACACACATCAAGATTAGGCAAATACAGACACACACATGAAGCAGCCTGTATGATGCGGCTGTAGTTGTTATGTGGCTCCCGCGGCTGGGTGGATGCGTTGGTCAGCTCGCGCCCTTGCCCGGCAGGCAGATCCCAGTACATCCCTCCTGACATGCAAATCCTATGGCAATCGCTGCGCTTCCTTCCTCTTGCTGTGTACTCCCTCTGTCTGTCCCTCGCTCTCTTTCTCTACCCCCTTTTCCTCCCTCGTGGATGCAACCGTCCGCGCAGTGCACGCAGGACGGTCCACTGGAGCGGCGTCAGCAGCGGGGAGAGATGCGAGGAGCACAGAGGAGCCCCAATGGCGCCGGATTCTCACCTCCCGTCTCGTACTCCTTCTACCACCTCCCGTACCTCTACTGCCAACCCATTCCTCTTTCTGTCTCCATGCCTGCGTCCTTCTCGCCGTGCCGGGCCGCAGAGCACAAGGAGCAGGCGGAGTGGAGGAAGACGGTGCCCAGCTACAACCAGTCCGCCGCGGCCATGGACGTGCGCGTTTGGACCACGCCGGACGAAGGTCAGGAGGCTTTGCCGAAGAAGTGGGAGATGGCCTACACGGAGACGGGCATGGTTTATTTCATAGAGTAAGTGACCTTTCTCCTGCTTGCATTGTTTTGGTGGTGTTGCTGTCCCAATACTACCTGTGTGTGTGTGTGTGTGTCTCCCACCCGCATCCCTACCCGGGAGAGAAGGCGGTTTGGTCTCCCCTGAGCTGTTGTCGTGCACATGGAAGCTATCCGCAGGGCTTGGCAATGGCTGCCGTGTTGTTCTTGATTACACTTTTCTGTTGTTTCCCCCCCCCGCGTTTGATGTCGGGTTTGTTGGCTGCCGCTGGAAGCAGCAGACCCGCTTTGTTTGCCTGGCCCGTTAGCGCGGCGGCCAGGCAGTCTGACGAAGCCAGGTGCCGCTGCCCGCTGCTAAATCAATAGATCAGACTAAATGAAGCTCGCCACCCGTGACCTGCTCTCTCTCAGTCGTGCCGTTTATGATCTCTGCCGCCGCTTACGCTTTAAGTGCTTTATGCATTCCCCCTTTTTCTTCCTTATTTACTTTGTGCCACTTTCTACCTCTCTCTCTCTCTCTGTCATTTTACCTCAAAGGGTCTTTTAAGCTAGTTAAAATATGAAGTCTTTTTAAATAAGCCGTTTGATCCAACGAGATAAGAAGTTGGCTCTGTTTGCTTGATAAAGCTCCTGGGGTACGGTGGCTCCTGAGAGTTATCGGCTCTGCACTAATTGCTTGATTGTCTCACTATCTCACATTCCTGTGAAATGATTTTGACTGAAGCCTGAAACCGGTGTGTCTCCCTATCTGCACTTTAGTCACAACAGCAAGACCACAACCTGGCTGGACCCCCGACTCGCCAAGAAGGCCAAGGCTCCCGAGAAATGCGTCGAAGGAGGTGAGGCGATATCCGCGGATAGGCGGTGAGGTTTGCGTCTTTTAGCCATCAGTCCTCGCTGACCGGACACACTTTAGCCTCATCTCAACTCCCCGCTGCACGGAGCAGCGTCCACATCTCTGGATCTCTGATGAGGCCGCCGGCTAACAGACGGCGATTGAACACCCGAGCGGTCCTGGTCGACACAGTTGTGCCGGCGACACAGAACAAACCTCAAGTCCATCTACCGCTAATGGCTTCTGGGACACATGCGGGGAGCTCATCAGTGCAGCATCTTTCAAAAGGCAATTTCCCAGGTCCCCTCTTGCGTTAAAATCTCCACTGAGCAGCATGTGTTTGTCACACAGACGCAAAGACTCAGGCTGTTGCACACACACACACACACACACACACACCGCTGGAAGGAAAGGCAGTTATGTTTCAGGGCGGCTATGTAACAACGACAGCGTTTCCTGCTTCTCTCCCTGCCTCCCCAGCAATATGCATTAAGCCCTGAACACACAGTGGTATAAAAATAAAAAAAAACAGCCTCCTTTTTCCCAGGTGCAGGTGTGCATTCTGTGAGTCGAAGCAGCATCTCAAACGATTCACATCTGTCCTCTCGCTCTCTGTTCTCCCACCAGAGCTGCCCTACGGCTGGGAAAAGATCGAGGACCCGCAGTTCGGCACCTACTACGTAGAGTGAGTAAACTTCTCCCGGGGCATAAGGGGACCCAGGGGGTTACCGCTGTGGATTGTGCTGGAAGTAAATAATGAGGCCTGCTGCTTGCTCATACTCTGTCCCCGTGTGTCTGTTGAGGTCTGAAGGTTCCGTCAAGTGGCAAAAATGTCAAAATTTACTTCCATGAACTGAAAACACGGCCAACTACCGGACTGGACGGGGCTGTGGTTTGCACGGCGTCGATCGCGGTGTAGCTACGTACTACAGCATATCCTGGCGTTTTGTCTATTTTGCGGTAAATGGGAACGGAATCGACTAACTGAACATGAGTGAAACTACTGGTTGAGTGTAAAATTGCACTTCTCAGAACCGATGGGTGTTCGTACCTCCCCATCGTCTGCAACACAGAGCCGTGCAGCTGAATTGCAGACGTGGACGAGGGCCATGTGTGAATGTTAAGGGCCCCGTGGGATATGTGAAAGTGGCATGTGCTATTGTCCATACGGTTGTTTCCCACAGTCCTGCAGAAACCAATAATGTCATCCCAGATAACACTGATGGTTTACAGCTTTGTGTGTGTGTTGTGTGTGTGCGTGTGAAAGAGAAGACAGTGAGGCAGCAACAGACAATGAAGGTTTAGGGTCCCTGAGAGGGAAACAAAGGGCGAGATTCCATTCAGATCAAGAGTGTAAACAAGGGGCACAATGTTCCATTTTAGTTTCACTACTGTGGTCGAACAGAGTGAGACCCGCAGGGAAGGGGGGATGTGGTGGCGGTGGGGGGGGGCGCGCATCTTTATGCAAGAGGGTCACCGAGAGGCTGCCTCCTCCCTGTCTCCGTCCGGCAAATTTTGATTGCAAATGAACGGCCGAACGAGATGATCACAAACAAAACCCGAGGTGCCGGCGAAGCGAGGAGTGAGACAGTTCGACAGGGAGGAAATGAAAGCGAGGGAAATGTTTATCGCTCCAGCCTTAATGGGGAGGGAGGGTATCTCTGTGCGATGAGTCATGGGCAGCTTTTTCGCTGAACGCACGCACACATCCACACATCAGCGCCTCAGCATGTGGCTGATTCTCGGCGCAGCATCAGTGCCTTTGGCCTTCCCGAGGTGCTGTCTCATGAGCGGGATTTACAACCGCTGGAGCTCATTACGCAGATGAGCTACCACTCTCTATTACCATCCAGCCGCTGAGGGACCTTTTATCCAGGTAGCGGGAAACGTTTCGGCACACAGGTGTTAATTCTAAATGCTCAGTTAATTGTTTTTAGATTGCGTTTTAGTGTAAATTCCTCTGGCTATGGCTGCTGATCCTGAGAAAGCTGAGCTGTTTATTTTCAGCGCTGTTTAAGCAACGTCTACGTCTTCCTCTATTCACGGAGCATATTGTCCCTTCATCCGTGTGCAGTTGATTTAATCTTTTGATCCTGGGATTACAAAGCATTGAGCAAAGCGGACGATCACGGCAATGATCCTCTCGATCCAATTTTGAGTCTTTGAATTCACTGAGGGGGTCAATTCATCTTTTTTTATTTTTAGATATACTCTCAAGCCATCTTTTTGTGTTACACAGCTTAGACAGGTGTGGATTACTGGTTTAAATACTGTTTTAGAAAAACCTGTATGCTAGATCACATGCAGTCTACCCAGCGTAGGTTCCCTTTAAATCCAGCACTCATAGTCAAATCACAAGTTTGCATAACAGGACAGCATCAGTGGACAAGCTGTGCTCTGTGAGGTCAGACATGAGACCACAGACAACAAAGAGACCTTATCTGGCATGTGATTAGTGGTATGGCAACAAAAACAGGATTCAATCACTTATTACCTTCAGTTTTATCCAACAACTGTGTCACAGTTCATCGTTTTCTTCATCTGCTGTTGTTATCCCTCTTCAGCCACATCAACCAGAAGACCCAGTTTGAGAATCCAGTGCAGGAGGCGAAGAGAAATTTGAGCGCTGACGTTCCCACTGCGGTACTGCTGCCAGCAGCCACACCCTCAGGTAACCACGCGCCGCGGAGCACAAATAACTGTTTCACGCAGCAGGTTGCAAGTAAGCAAAGATCAGCCATGGAATGAGATTATTCTCATCATCTCACTGATTATTTATTATCACCTCCAATGTTATGTAACCAATGGCAAAGGGTAGAGGCGTTTTTCAAGCCAATGCATTTCTAAGTCTTTTTTTTGTTTACAGGTAAGAAGGTTGTCATGATACATTATTGCAATGTAGGATGACGTTAACGTCATAGACATTGATCTAGTGGTTTTACACACATCTTTCATCATGGTATATCTGTTTATATTGTTTACATTCATTGTCATGGTATATCGGTTTATATTGAGACCGAAGAACTCTCGCTTTAATTTATGTTCATGTTCAGGCTTTCAAAACTTTTTTTTTTGGCGTTTTTTAGGGTTTTAGTCTAACCGGTCATCAGGGAAATAGGCAGGAATCAAGATCATTTGCATGTTGCACTTTGAGAGAGAGAGAGAGAGAGAGAGAGAGAGAGAGAGAGAGGGCAACCAAAGTAACACATATAGAATGAATATTTTATTCTTGACTTCTTTAGTCTATTATTAGAACTGAATAGTGGCTGTAGGCCCTTATTAGACCAGGTTGCGCCAACAGGGATTCAGTTCGAAACCCAATTAGAAACTTTAAATAATCTCGTACCCAATTTAAAAAAAGAAATTGAATTAAGGGATTACATTTAATCCTCTCTATAAACCTACTATTGACTTGGCAATTTCCTCAAAAAGCCAAATAATCAAGTTCCCCCGAAGAAAGTCAAGGAACACACTCAAACCAGTGGAGTTTTATGATGCTGCTGCAACATTTTAATGAAGATACCAGTTCAGTATAGGGAGACCGTTATCGAGCTGAACTGGGAGAGAAAGGTTCTTTAATCTTAATGGTAAAAAAGTGGTGTCTGTTTATTCATTTTCTATCATTTGGCCATGTTGACCAACATGTCTCCCTCCCTCAGATATAGAACTTCTCTACCAAGTAGAGTTATCATGAGCCTCTCACGACGAGGCTAATGTAGATAATCTGATTGGCCAAAAGCTTTTGATATTCATTCTGTTTTCCCTTCTCTCCCAGCCTTTCTAGCTGGGACTCAGCAGTTTGAAGAAGCCCTTATTGAGACACTTAGCTTTTTTGTTCAGTGAAGAAAAAAGACAAACATAATAAGGCATTAGATCTGTTATCCAAACACTTTTATCATCTCCTCCACGCTGAGATGTCCGTCTGAAAGAGGATCCACCAGTTGACGCGCTGCCGATAAACAGCGATGCTATTCAATTTGATTAATGGAGCAGCGCTTCGCTGGTCGGCGGAATTCACTTTGACGAGTCGATTTTGAAATAGGGAGAGCTCGGGGGTCTTTTACAAAAATGCTCTCGCCCCGGTCACTCACAGCAGTTCAGAGATTTCTTAAGAACAAAGAAACGGGAGGGCGACTTGAATGTGACCTATGATCATCAATATCATTTCTTCTGGGTATCTGTTCACCATTTTAGGATGCTGCGTGGATGTTCAAATCAGCCTCTTCTTGGTCACCGGCGAAGCTGTGCCGTTGTGACAGGAGTGCCAATTGTTGTGCTCTCCTGTGCGCTCACACACACAAAGCGCGGCCACATCAGTATTCACACCGGCCTCTGGATTTCAGACGGCCGCCGGACAGAACTGTCTGCCTCACTCTGTTGAACGCGGAAACGCCCGCCTCCCAGAGTCTCTGCAGTCCGCGGACGATATTTCCTCCGCGCACTGCCCCCCCTCTCTCCTCCCCACCTTCCCTACCCTGGTTAATGACGATTAACGGCTAGCAGCCCCCCCCCCCCCGAGCCCTCGCATGGTGGGGGGTACGGGAGGGTGGCACCTAAAGACTGGGTTGGCCAAGACTGGCTCGCCTCACCTCTGAGACAATGCCACAGGAGCAAAGCGCAGCACTGTGCTCAGCCATAATTAACACGCTGACAGACCTGTCTGACATTTCATGTAATCAACTCACCGCCCTCCCCCCCCACACACACACACACACACCCCGCTCTGCCTTCACTCCTCTTGTCAGTGTTTCCTACATGAGGGAAACCTGTGAGAAACATTGCTGACAGCCAGTAGACACGCATGCACGCTCCCGCCTTAAATTTTCATGAGGAATTTCAAGCTATGCCTGCGTACCCTCGCACAACAGCAATCTAGAAAATATCTCTGATACAGTTGTCAGGAACCCTTTTTTTTATATTCAGAGCGGTCATGTTCATCAGCCAATTGCAACGCAATTATGCAAATCTCAATCCCCTGACACATGAGAGTAGGAAGAGGGGGGGGCTTCTATCTGTACCGTCCCTAATGAGATTGATGTTCCTCCATCAGTGTGGGAACTGCCAGAGAGGACGCCCAGCATGCATGGACACGGCACATAACTCCCAATCTCATAGGCTCACAGCACAGGGGAGGGTGGGCCGTCTCTCTTTCTGTCGAGGCTAACTCTGTTTCTCTCTGCCGTATTGCTCTTATCTTGCTATTTTACTCACACACACACACACACACACACACACACACACACACACGGTCTATTAGAATTCCTATCCTCTCTTCTAAAAAGTCGTTCCATTTATTCATCCTGCAGGCACCACAAAGGAAACTTGCAATGAAAGGTTTGACCTTGATAATGCCAGCTTCAGGATTCATTTATCACTGCAGTGAGAGGAAACGCTGGTTTGCAGTGAGACTGGGGAAAAATGTAGAGATCTTGCAATAAGTGGATGTTCATTGGCTTTGCAAAAAAAAAAAAAGCTCCGGAGTTCTCTGAGTGTTCATGTAAATACCAGCAGTGAGTGACGTGCTGTTGAACATGTTGTCACAGTAAATGTTGATAAGACACAAGCCACTTGGTTTTTCAGTTTCGCTTCATACCACAAGCTCATTTTCGCAGACGCCTGGATACTCAGGCCACATGGATGGTCCGTTGCCTCTCACCGACCTCTCTCCTCCTTTTTCCCTCGTCATCCGTACAGCAGAGGAGCCCAGCAGGGGGGCGCGCGCCTTCACGCGAGATCCTTCCCAGCTGCAGGGCTCCATCCTGCAGGCCGCGCTTAGAAAAAGCTCCCAGGGCTTCGGGTTCACAATCATCGGAGGAGACCGACCCGACGAATTCCTTCAGGTGAAAAACGTCCTTCCCGATGGGCCCGCCGCGCATGACAACAAGATCGCCTCAGGTAGGTCCACCCCCACCCCCCCAGAGGCCTGTTTATCTATCTCGCTGTTTGGACTACAGTTTGAAGCAATCCTACATAATGCAGAGTCATACAGGGAGTAAATGCTGGGAGTGTGAAGGAGAGGCTTTTTATTGTCATTCAATAAATTCAGTGTCACATTGCGGAACAGCTCTGGAAATAGGAAACTTCCAGCAATAAAGTGCATGTTCAGTTTATTGTTGACATCCAGATTTTATATACAGCCACATACAACGGATTGAGTATCCCTGCCAAGGCTGGTGGGTGACAGAGGCTGCTTATCTGCATAATGTTCTAATGCAGTAATCTGTAAAAGTGACATCCACGCTACATGTAGCTCCACTGGTGTGCTTTCTATATTCTCACTAGGGCCACATTAGCTCAATAAGTTCCCTTTTATTGTGTATATATAAATACGGCTATCACTTGGCGATTGTAGTAATTTGAAAAACTGTCAGCGAAGCGCTTCAGGATTCACATTACAATGATATTGATTGCCTTGACAGCTCTTACAGCCACACCAGTGCTGCAGCTTTTGAGAATTAACATGAAAGTAGAACAGTGAGGGAGATTATTTTCAATGTTTCATTGCCCTTGAGAAGGACGGGAATTGATTAAAGCCCCAAAAACTAACATATGTAATTCATTTTGTTGGGTAATAACAGGAAGCGCTGTCCCTTTATTCCACATTCTTCTGGATTTAAGACCTTCTGACTACAGGGCCGGAGCATTAACTACCACGGGTAGAATTTTTTTCATAGCTTAGGAGCCTTATTATCTCGTAGATGGTTGGTTATTAGTCAAGTCACTGGAAATATGTATAGTGGGGCATGAACAGGCACTACATTGGGATGTGAGCTCATTTCAGAGTTGTACCGGCGCGGTCTTATTGATTGCGTAGGTGGGTTGAATCCTCCACTGGGCTTTCAGCCAGCTAGCCAGTCAGCAACTTAGCAACGGGCCAAGGGTGAGGAGCCCCCGCCCCCTCTCCTAAAGGAAGATGGAAGACGGGAATGACTTGTCTTTGATCTTGCTCTATTTCATAACCATGCTTGCCCTCTCCATTAAGAAGAACATCTTGGAATTTTCCAAAGGGAAATTTTGCAGATGGCGCTTGAGCAATCCAGCTTGATAATTAACGTAACATTTTTATCGTGATGACTTTTCATCGTTGTTCGTGTCCCTTTTTTATTGTCCCTCTCTGTTGATCATTTCACAAACATCTAAAAAGCTCTCTGTCCCTATAGGTGACGTCATCGTGGACATCAACGGGGCATGTGTGCTGGGGAAGACTCACGCTGATGTGGTGCAAATGTTCCAGTCCATCCCCATCAACCAGTACGTGGACATGGTCCTTTGCCGAGGCTACCCCCTGCCTGAGGACTCCAGCAGCACCGAGGAGTCCTCCAAGGACACTTCCCCGTCCCCCTCAGCCTCCACACAACAAGACCCCCACCAGACGATCCCAGATGGAGGAACCCTCTCCAGGCAGACTGCCGCCGTACCACCCATGACCAATGGTGGTCGCCACCACCACCACCACCACCAACAGCACCTTCCCCCCGTCCCCAACCAAGAAGGCCCCGACCCCACCCTGTTGCAGCCAGAGCTGGTGAGCGTGCCCTTGGTAAAAGGCCCGGGGGGGTTCGGCTTTGCCATCGCAGATTGCCCCCTGGGCCAAAAGGTGAAGATGATCCTGGACGCCCAGTGGTGCCGCGGCCTGCTGAAGGGCGACGTCATCAAGGAGATCAACCGTCAGAATGTCCAGACGTTGAGCCACTCCCAGGTGGTGGACATCCTCAAAGACCTCCCCGTGGGAAGCGAGGTCAGCGTGCTGGTGCTGAGGGGAGGTGAGTCGGCGGGAATTACCTAATCCTAAAGAGTACATCGCAGACGGCGGGGGTTACAGTGCTGCCGCTGTGACATCTCTTCTGTCAAACCCCAGAGGTCTATATTAATCTAATCACGGTACTGTCTCCAACAACAAACAGGTGTTGGTGCCCAGAGTTAGACAGAGCTGTAGTCCCACGCTTCTTTTTTCAATCCCTGACAAAGCCTCATCACGCCTACATTATTGTCTCTCTTGCTTTCACTTTTCCCAAAAGAAAGTAACGAGTGAAACAACAGAGGCGAGAAGCCCGCCCGCGGGTTTTTGAAAATTGATTTCTTAAGAGAGAAAAGACAACTGCATACCACGTTGATAGAAGGTCCACTTAGTTGAGGAGGATTCCGTGTAACATGTAGCATGTTTTTAATTCATAAATAACGAGGTGAACTGTGGTTTTTCTCGAGATATTGCTGGGACACACAGATTCTCCCGATGTTAAATAAAGCAATTTCACGCTCTGGTTGACACCAACTCTGCATCCTCCACCGTGCAGCTTTCCCGAGCAGGGAGGAAGTCATCCTTAGTCACATGTTGAGCTGCGCTCAGAGAGAAGGAGTAGGCAGGGAGGAGAGACGGGGCATGGTGGCTAATCATTGCCCTTCGTCTAACTTGAGGCTCTCTCTGATTTGATGTGCTTGTTTTTTTTTGTCTTTACTGCAATGCAGTAGCCTAGATTCAAGAGCGTTGCACCCACATATCAGACAGAAAGGACTCTGTTCTGTGCTGCGAGGGGCTTTTTACCCGTCTTTTGGGGACATTGATCATATTGTGGGGAAGCGCCTATGGGGACAGTCCCACTATGTATATCATGACGTATTAAGGACAAGACGAGGTTTATGGTTTGGAATGCGGGTGGCCAGGATTTTTTCAGCCTCAGCCCGACAATCAAACAAAAAGTTCCATAATCATCCAAATTCAGTTGCAACTGAACCTCTCGCAACTGAAGCTAATTGCTAGCTTTCCGTTTATTAGTTGGTTCTTATCATCAAACTGTACATTTATCCAAATATATGTTACGTGTGTACTGCAATTATTTGATGCATTGCTGGTAAAACCACCCTTACCTTTGAAGGTTTTATGCATTTGTGAGACTGGGAGTTCTGAGCATCTTCTGGAGTAAAATGTGTCCCAGCGCTGTAATTGGTGTATGACTAATGACTCTAATGATATCAATATACTCTAATTAAGTCCCTAGCTCCTCTATGTGATATGAGCAGGTGGATACGCTTTTGCATTTCTAATATTTAAAAAAATAATGAATTAATATTCTGAAAGGCATTCATCCCAACCAAACTATTTAGTTCCATTTTACACCGTTTGGTTATGAAAAGCTGCAGACAGTGAGAGCAGTCAAACAGCTGGCACGTCCAACGCACAGAAGCAGCATGCACGTTTCCCACAGCACAGCCCAAGGGTCACCTCTGTGTCCCCCATCCCGTGGCGACACGTTGCTGTATTGCTAGTGTATACTGCCCCCTACTGGTTGGATTGGACCGTGACTCGCTGTCAGAGATGAAAGCGAGAGAGATGTCTATCAGTCATCTTCTGTACTGCTTAACGTCAGCGTGTTGCTGGGGGACGTGGTGGAGTCTGTCCCAGCTAACCGACGTACAGACAGACATCCATTTACTCTCACATTCTCCTCTGAGCAATTAAGACCAATTTACCTGAGCCGCAGGGCATTACTCCATCTGTTAGAATAGATCTTTGTTGTTGTTTGCCTGATGAATTTAGTTCAGAATCTAACATCCGCCTCCACCGCTCTGCTTACAGGTCACACATCTCCTGTGAAATCACTAAAACCAGTAAGTTCAAGCGTCTGTTTGTTTTTCCCATTTTGTTGGACAAAACATAAAAGAAAACACTGATGATAAAACTGCAGCTGACTTATTTCGTAGAAAATGGTTTTACTTGGTAACACACTAGCGCCTGTGTGTGTGTGTGTGTGTGTGTGTGTGTGTGTGTGTGTGTGTGTGTGTGTGTGTGTGTGTGTGTGTGTGTGTCTGCGCGCGCTTTGGAGGCTGTTGTTACTTACATTATTCAGTGAGCCAACATTAGCCGGGCTGTTATTTCTGGAACTGCATGTGGGTAAATATGCCGAGTTCTGGCAACTTAACATCCCTCTGTGCACGGGTGTTTAAGATGATACGCCATGTTCAACAGATCGTTCCATGCTGTACTCTTAAAATAGGGGCTGAGGCAGCAACAAGCTTACTCATGCAGTTTTAATGGTTAGATCCCAATGAGTGCGTGCAGTATTTAAAATAGATGAATATAATATTTAGCAAATTTTCCCGAATTAGCTACAACTATAATATATCATGCTATGGGTTACAGTTTACAACTAATAAGCATGATTAGATATACATTTGAGTAAATTGAGTGATTTGTTTTTTGTATTAACTAACTATCCAATAATGTATGCTACTTGCTGTCATCAGTTTGTGTAATATGAATTTATTTGTATTGTATCTTAGCTGATAAAAGCCAATATCAATAACATTCAGATTACATAAGTAAACTATTTATTTAAGAGTTTATTTGATAATCTACTACTACTGTGTATTCAAATAGCATAAAAAATGTTACATTGTGTAACATGACAAATTAACAATGATGGTATATTCTTAATAAATAATTAGTAAACCTTATAATTTAGGAGGGCATTTACAGTTTTCTTAAAAGTATGTTTTTTGTAATGATTCATAGTCATAGTTCACTTCTCACTGCTCTTTGTTGCAGTGCACCGCTCCCATGTCCCAAGCATTATCCCAGCCTACTTCTCAACACGCTGCCCAGCCGATGCCTCATCCCAGCTCCCAGCCCGCCGCACAGCCGCCGCCGCCGCCGCCGCAGGAGATACTTAGCAGCATAGAGGCCCTCGGGCCCTCTGAGTTGGTCCCCAACCCGCTGCCTTTCCCTGCCAACACGCTGCGCGTGTCTTCACCCAAGCCGGACGCATCTGAGCTCTACATCAAGTCCAAGGCCTTGCTTGACAGCAAACGTAAGTTCACACAATAAAAGCTGTGTTTGTATGTTACGCCCCGCGGAACCCTGTTGAATCCAGAGGACCGGCCACTTGTCACCGTTACAACATGGTCTTGGATGGGTGACGAGAGCTTCAACTTATTTCAATCATTTGCTTCTATCTACATGTGAATTTTTTTAAATGTCATAGTATTTCCCGCAACTTCGTTTGACAATGGATGTCTGTAGCCCTCTGTTATCTCATAAATATATTCTAAAATGATATAATCTATTCATTCATGTCTTACACTCCATCAAACGATGTACACATTGCACAGCAACACGTAATCCACTAACACCATTACTCCTGTGTCCCTTCACTCTTCTCTCCCCTCTGCAGCTCCCAACACCAAGGACCTGGATGTGTTCATCAAAAGAAACCAGGAGTCGGGGTTCGGCTTCAGAGTCCTCGGGGGCGAGGGGCCGGATCAGCCGGTAGGTTGCAGCTCAGGCACATCGATATTACAGCTGAATTCAGTTAAATTGACAGATTTGCTGCTGTCGCTACGGGACAGTAGGAAAATAGATTGTCAAAACAAGGAGAGCAAAACTGCACACGAAAGAACACAAGACCTCAAACGCTCAAAGCGACTTAAAAGGATTTCGAGTGACTCCCAAGTTGTCCCTCCGGCTCGGATCCGCGCCTCAAGCTGTTCCTCTCGTGTCCTCCACAGGTCTACATCGGCGCCATCGTGCCGCTCGGTGCGGCCGAGAAGGACGGGCGCCTGCGAGCGGGGGACGAGCTCCTCTGTATCGACGGCGTGCCAGTCAAGGGCAGATCCCACAAGCAGGTGCTCGAGCTGATGACCAACGCTGCCCGCAACGGCCAAGTCTTGCTCACGGTCCGCAGGAAACTCACACAAACGGGTGGGTCTGCGTTTGCATAAGCAGCTCTATATTTATCTGAGAGAAGTCGTCGCTTTTTAACCACGGTTTATTGTTTTGACCCTTTGTCTGGATCAGCATGCCGGAGGAGCTCCTCCGAGCAGAAGCTTTGATCTGGGATCGTTTGTTCGCTAATCTTTTAAACGCCGTTGTGGGTGGCTTCCTTAAAAGTGAATCGATCATGACTTTCATGCAGACTTCTTCCCGTGAAGAAGGATTCCGTTTTGATAGATGACAAGACAGTGAATGGAGAATTTTCATCCACCAACAAGGACAATAGAAAGCTGCAAACACGGCTTTGCTCTGCGCTTATCTTTCAAGGCTAATAGGAGCCATGCGAAGGGCAATGAGGATTAGATCAGCTGGTAGAGTCGATTTACATCTCAAAGGAGGAAAAAATAGAATATGCTGCGATTTCTTTTACATCAACGCAAACCCCTGCTGCATTCAGGCTTGTTTACCCCCACAAATAACAACTGCTTGAATGGCACCAGCACTTTTTGGAATTACTTCAGATTTGATGTATCGCAACAACAGCTTTGAAACTGAAGTTGCAGAAATTGGGCATCAATCATGTGAGGCTCTTTGCTTTCAAACGCTGCGGTTTAGAAAGAGATTTCCTGATGCCAGCTGACAAAACAGGGACGCGGCAAAACAAACATAGATCAGCGTGTCCACGTGAATAACAAAGTGTAAAGGGCTTTCATCTCACATGTTGAGTTGACGGTTATATCTTGTGTGTTCAATAAACACAGCAGAAAGTCTTCCCTTAAAGCCGCTGTGCTTAGGGATTATTTGTGAACGTTGTGACGAATAATTGTTAATAGATGGAAGTGTATGACGTCTTAATCAGAATGCCATGTCCGGATTGCAAATTGTATAATTATTTTAGACGAGCTGACTGATCCCCTGGTGTTTCTGTGCGTCGTCCCACGTCAGACGGGGAAGAAGAGGAGAGCGCTCAGCAGCCCCCGCGAGTAGCATCCGCCCTGGTCAACAGCTCTCCCAAGATGCCGCGGGTCGAGGTTCCGGATGCCGTCCAGTCGTCTCGGCCGGAGTGCTTCGACGTCACTCTGCAGCGCAAAGACAACGAGGGCTTCGGCTTTGTCATCCTGACGTCAAAGAACAAGCCCCCACCCGGAGGTGAGAAATCGAGAAGACAGGCACCTTTTAATAACAGTGTTATATATTAATAACTGAACTGTTATTTGATGGAAAATAGGCAATACAATTTCTCTGTATTTGTCTACGTTTCCAAAACGGATCGAAAAAACATTTGCGCCATGTTTCTAGGAATAAAATGTTTTATGACTCATAAATAATATATGAACAAACCCTTCTGTAGAATATAGATACGAATGAATGAATATTATGAGGGTAATTTTAGGTGATCCATTATTCCCCTCCTTAATTAAATGTAACATCTCTGGTGAACACATAACTTTAGATTTAATGCCGTCGAAATGTCATCTTGTCTTTTGTTTATGACCTTCAAAACTAATGACATTCCCAACGGACGTCTTTAGTGCTAATTAGCAAATGTAAGCATGCTGGCACGGTCACTCAGAATGTTAACACCGCCATCACCGCGAGCTCGTTAGCATGTGTGCGTTAGCATTTAGCTCGCAGGGCCGCTGTATCAAGCTGTACTCTACAGCTGCTGTCTCCTCCTCCTATTTGTCCCCATTCTGTCCAGGTGTTTTATGTAACACCATAACTCACTGAATTAGGTTTTGATTTATCTGTGCTTCCCTGTTTCAGTTATACCTCACAAGATTGGGCGTATTATCGAGGGCAGCCCCACCGACCGCATAGGTCAGATGAAAGTGGGGGACCGTATCTCCGCTGTCAACGGCCTCTCCATCATGGAGCTGTCGCACAACGATATTGTCCAGCTCATCAAAGACGCCGGCAATTGTGTCACCCTCACTGTCGTGCCGGAAGACGGTAGGTGTGGCAAAGAGAATGTATTTAAGTGGCCAAAAGGAGGCTTTGAAATTGCTTTGTGGGGTCCGATAGCAGATCACAAGATCTGAGCGTCATTATCAATGTTTGTGTCGTGTTTGTTTGTTTACAGACAGTGCTCCTCCGTCTGGAACAAATTCAGCCAAGCAGAGCCCTTCGGCACAACACAGAGCTATGGGCCAGCAGCCTCCCAGCTATCCAGACAGGTACACAAATACACACACACGTACTCCCATACGAGCGAAGGCATTCACACAAGCTCCTCCGGCCAGCATCCCGCAGGAAGGAAGTCTAATACAGCCGCTGTCAACGCAATCTGCCCAAATCCTCTCCAAGCGGCACTCTGGCCTGTGCTACAATGTGGCCCATTAGCATCTCCTGTGGCCCTCACTTGCCTGGTTATCCGGAAAGACAGAACCCCCCCCCATGGTCACTGCTTGGATGGCGAAGCAAAGAAAAAGAGAGATTATTAGGGAGTCTCTTTTCCTCTTCCTTTCTTTTCAAACCGGATTACCTGCGTCAAACTTTTTTAATCCATTGCTGAGGCAGCAATTCTCCACCGTCGTTCTTTTGCCCCGCAGCCGCTCCTTCTTGCTGCCTATTAGCACGTGTTCCCCTTCTCCTCATCCAGCCCCCTGTCCATTCCTCGGCGGTACCCTCTCTCCTCTCCCTCTAATCTCCCAAAACATGCCTGGGGTCAGCTCGGGCCGGCCATGAGCCGCGGCAGTCAGCTGGGCTGCATTAACGCTTCTCCATGCTGGAGCTGCTAAGACGGCCTGGACTCTTTCAGAGAGTGCGTCGGGTTGCCCCACGAAGGCATAATGAGCTGTGCAGAGCGTTAAAGTCTGCCCTCTTTGTCTTCCTGTATAAGCAACGTGGCTCACAAGCCGACAGGAGGGGGCACAAGCTGCTACGCTGAAGGCGTGGCAGAGTTTGGGTGATACTAAACGGCGCCTTAAATCTTCCCTTCGCAATGCTGATACCTTTACTGCTGTAGTTTACTGTAGTTCACACACAGGCATTACTGCAGAACTGTACCTAGTAATGATATTTCGTTATTTTATTATTTCATACATGTTCTCATCTCAAAATGAGCCAAACACCACTAAACATATTTCATATCCACAATATGTTGTCCACATTATAATGTGTGTGCATGTGGTCTTTTGGGGGGTAGAAATGGTGATACGGAGGTGAGGAACTCTTTCCCACCAAGCGAGATGGGAACATTCATCATGTCGGGCTCCAAGCAGGTAAGAATATAGCCAGAACTACCTAAAGCTGGCTCATTATATCACCGTGTTTGTAGGTTACTCATTCGGCTCCGGTGTCTACTGATCGATTCTTAATCTGAGGGCTGTCACCTTACGAACTGATCACACTAAATGCAACATTCATCTCATGTCTGACAAGACCATGTCCTGGTCTCAAAAGTCTCATATATCTGACTGTGAACTACAGGGCTGCTTTGTAGTGGAGCTGGACCGCAGTCAGAGAGGCTTCGGCTTCAGTCTGAGAGGTGGAAAGGAGTATAACATGGGCCTGTTCATCCTGCGGCTGGCTGAGGACGGACCTGCTCTTAGAGACGGCAGGATACATGTGAGTTTAAGGATTTTTACCCTTTTTTATCCACTCACTAAGACTACTTTGCACTATTGCATTTTAAACGAAATGTAGCCATTCTTACACTGTGTGTGCAATCCAGACCGATATAACTGCATCCAAAGTTCACTCCTATTATTGTTTTAATCTTATTTCTTTGTCTTTTTTTTAAATGTGTGATCCAAATCTAATCATGCCATCATTTGGGGTCCAAAGAAGGGAGACTTTCTTTGCAGCAATAAAAGGCATTTTTGCTAGACATGTAACGTGCACATTAAGAACGGATGCTATCTGCACCACAGGTTGGAGACCAGATAGTGGAGATCAACGGCGAGGCCACCCAGGGCATCACGCACACTCGGGCAATTGAGCTGATCCAAGCAGGAGGCAGTAAAGTGCATCTGCTGCTTCGACCTGGCCAGGGCCTGGTCCCCGATCACAGTGAGTGACTGCTGGCGGGCCGCACGCATATAGATCCACACGTTAGCATAGGAACCGCACATATGCAGGGTGCTGACTTTTTTTTTTTTATTCTTATGCATGTGTTGCTTCTCTTGACTGTTCTCTCCTGTCATTCTCACCTCTATCTTTTATCTGTGCTCTCTATCTGCTCCTGTTTTCTGCACTGGCACGGCCGTCTATTTCTACCTATTTATCTTTTCCCTCCTTTAGGTCAGAACTCTTCTTCCACCCTGTGCTTCTACATGAAACCAGAGCATCACTAAAGGCCTCACTGCTTTTCTTGGTCTGTCCCTAATGACCTTGGTAAACCTTGTACTTCTTGTACTTCTTGTACCTTTATGACTTCTCCTTTAAAAAGTGATTCATCTCCCAGAGTTAAGTGTCGTTCTCTTTCCCTTCCTTCATCCCCGTGATCAATTTGAAATGGTCAGTTAGCAGAGTTACTCTTGCCTCAGAGGGCTGAACCAAAGCAGTGAATTCTAGAAGAACTAACAGACCTGCAGGAGGGCTGAGGGGGGGGGGGGGGGGCTTCGGGGCTCTGCAAGTGATTTTAAGGGTATTGCAAAAGATGGGATGCCACTGAACACACACCTCCCCCATAATTAAGATGCAGAGCTGAAAAAAACGTTTACTAAATATTCAGTTTACTCAATATCAGTGAGCGACAAGCGGTAAAGGGATTTGTGTGCATTCACTGGCATCAACCTTTCAATCCAAAGACCACAATATAATGAATTTCTAGTTGTTGCTCCTAGAAATCCAAACTCATTTCAGCACGACTAAGTCCATCGCTCTTCATTTTTTTCCTCTCTCTCTGGTTTTCTGCTCCATATATCTGCTCCGAATCACAGCTTTGCAATTCTTATCAGCTTGAAGGGAAATTGAAACGTCAGTGTTGGGTGAACACAATCACCTTTTCCATTGGTGGCTGTCATCGGTTGATACATATCTCAAACAGAGGGTTATTAGAGAAAGTGGGCATGGTGAACTTTTTATTTTCCCAATTAAGGATATGGTTCTTTCCTTGCATGACATATTTAATTACATTTGTATCAAACATGCAAAATATCCAATGTAAGGGATATTTCAGCCAACGCAGATCCTTGTTGCACATGCAGTGTTTTCTTCTTTTCTTACTTCCCGTTGTTTGTTTCTCAGGTTCGAAGGACAAAGTTACTATTCCAAGCTCTAGCTTTCCCAGACTTTCCGAATCTGACGGCCACTCGTCTCCCGTCTCTCCAGCCTCTGTCTTTCTCTCTACCTCGGAACCGTCCCCATCTTCACCCAAAACCATCGGCCCCGATGAGTTCTCTGGGGCGGATCACGGGGCCCCCGGGTCCCCTGGCGCTGGGCAGGAGCACGGTAGACAGGCGAACAGACCAAGAGGGCAAAAGCTCTCTGAACACAACCACTCGCATACCACCAACCCCAGCAGCAAGGCGGCTAGTCCCAAGAGAGGCACTGAAGGCCGGGTAGATCACAAAGAGCGCTCAGAGAGCCCCCGAAAAACTGAGCGAGGCTTCGGCGGATCCCTGGAGGACGTAAGGAAGGACAGAAAAGGCCAAGGGCAGAGAGAACACCGATCCTCCAGCCCCAGAAAGAGGGAACAGGAACCTGCTGTGCCTCTGAAGAACCTGGACGAGCCCCAGAGCCCCCGGCGTCCAGCTGGCCAACAGCCCAGGATTGCTTCTGGAGAAGAGAAGGACCGGGGGTACGAGGAGGAGCATGTAGCCCACAGGCAGGAGAGGGCAGCTACGGAGATTGGAGACAAAAGTTTGGGGACCAGTGAGCGACACAAGAAGAGCAAAAGGGCTGAGCTAGAGGCGGCGGCGCATAAACCCCATTCCCACATGCACAGGGAGCGGGCCGCGCTGGACGGCGATGGTGGCACCCTGAACCGGAAGAGTAGAAGAGAGAAGGGGGATAAGGATGCTCGGGAAAGCAAGCACCATGGGCCAACTGAAGAAGAGGATAGAAAGGATCCGAGAGGGTCAAGCAGTAGCCTCCAGGACCCCAGCTGCAACGGGACCACCACCACCAGCAGCAAGAAGTCTCCCATCACCCCTGGTCCGTGGAAAGTTCCCAGTTCTGCCAAAATCCAGTCCCAAGTGGACAAAACATACGCAGATGTCTGATCGCCCTCCCGCAATTCACTGTGTTTATGAAGAAAAAGCTGAGCCCCTGAAAGATGGACATCCAGAACGGAAGGATTTTTTTGTTTTTGTTGCAACTTCTGACAAGGCAGATCACTGTGTAACCAGCAACATAGCTTCTCATTGCTCATATATATTTTTGTCACACAGTTTGCCTCGGTCGGTCAGTTTGCATCGAGCTGCTGACGTCAGATCTGACGTACTGTCTTTGTGCAGTACGATGATGCGAGGACATGCGTGAAGCAGCAGGACGCGACGCTGACGTCTATTTTTGTGCCAGTCAGAGACTCCGGTTTAAAAAGAAGCTGCACTCACTGTGAGCGGGTTTGTGGGTTACGAGAGGAACTGCTCTCCCTGTCTACCGGCCGCGCTGAAGGATCCTGCTTTTCTTTTTTGTTTTTCGAAGATTTAAGACATCGTCGTGCAGTGACTTTTTCTCCCTGAGACTGTAGCTGTCACTATTGGATGTTAGTAGAACGGGAGACGGTTCAGTTTCTCTTAAACGTCTCTAATACGTCTGTTTCCCGAGAGCCCGACTAAAGTTGTGAGCGGTTCGAGCGACTCTCTTCCTGCACACGAACGAGACTCTATGATCCCATCAGCTTCCCAGAATACCCCTGAGCTTTATATGCATCAATCAGCAGACCGGATACTTGTGGTTATAGTTCTAATGTTTGTTACATGTGTGTTAGTAATGAAGCATAATGTAATTTATTGAAATGATATGTAGACAAAAAACAATTAGTACACATATCCAGGCTGAGTCATTTCACCTTTTGATGTGGACTTATTGATAGAAATAGAATGTGTAGACAGGCATGGACGTCTAAAATAATCCCACTATGGAATCTATACATTCTACTTCTAAGACATAACGGTGTAAATGGTCACACAAGGCCGACTCATAATGTTGTCTCCTGTCAGCAGCACTGTATTTTAGGTCCCGTGGCTATGTGCATAGGTATACAAGCAGACTGGTAGACCTGTGTATTTTAGGTATCGCTGTAGCATCGACTATACTCAATCTGAAAAATATATTCTTTCACGAAATGATTTCACCTATTGACACATCATTTAGATGAGTTGAGTGAACGGGAGCTTGATTGTACGAAGTGGCAAGTCTGCCTTCAACTTATAAGAGATCTTGTATTTTTGTCATCACAAATATAGGCACAACAAATATTGTTCCTCCTAACCTCTAAATCTATTTTTGCTTATTTTTATGTAGTATATGACCCAATGTAATGTGAGGGGGGGGGGGGGTGTAACTAAATGTTTGCTTAACTGTTCGTTGTTACATGGCTGTCACGTTTGTGTTTTAATTAAAACTCCCCCAGAATGCGGGGAGTTTTCCTCAACAATAGCTCAACTGCTATTTGAATATACACTAAGTAAAGTTGATTCAATTAAAATGAATAGGGATTAAAAGCCCAAATCAAAACAAATACATAGATACATTATATTTATAATTTATTTGGATCAGTCGCGCACTCCCAGACCAAATTAGTGTTGTTTGAACGTCGCTACTGTGGAGTACAGAGACACCTAGTGGTTCATATGTTCCTGTTCATAAACTCTTCCTGCTCAGCCTGGGTGAGGATCACAAGTAACACATGCATCTCTCAGTCTGTGAGACCACTTACTAATTCATTGTCCACTTTATTGTTGACATGATGGGCTACTGTTTACTGTCTTCTATTTACTTTTCATGACATTACCATGTATGATACTGTGGCCTTGCATTGCTCATATATATATATATTATTTTTAGTTTTGACATGGTAGTTGTAAATGTTTATAAATTGTACAGCACCTGTAAAAATATTTGCCTTCATGCTGAAAAAAAAATCGCCTGTAAATTGTTTCATTATTTTTTTAATTAAGGGAGCTGAGAGTAAAATATATATAAAATGGGTGAAAAGTAATAATGTGGTCATGGCATTCTATTCATGCACTGATAAATAAAGGTTTACTGAATACACACGAGTGCATTTTTTTCCAAGGATTTAGGGGATAATTTTGTACTGAAGACACACGCTTTTTTTAAATTTATTTTTTAACTCTTTGTCATATTTTAAGCTGCTATCCTTTTTTGGGTCCTCTGATGTATCAGCACGCCACTGTGGAGTCGAATGAATGACGCTGGTTCCGCGTCTCTCTGCTCAGCCATGACGTCAGCAGGGCAGCAGTGAGCGCGTGCGAAGTCGCACGCAGTCGGCACGGCGTACTCCAACTCCCATGAGGCCCGGCGATATCAAAAAACCACATAAACCACAACTCCGTGCGTTGCGCGTGCGCAAACCGACCCACAATACGGGAAGCGGACTACAAACTAACGGGCAGAAGAACTACACGTCTCCGGACGCATGCGCAGTAGAATCACCGAGCCCTTTAAATTCAGCCTACGTGCAAAGATGGCAGCGCAAGTAGACTTGCCCCGGGCCAAAGTGGAAAAAGAAAAGATGAGGGACAGTCTAGATAGATTAATTAGAGAGAAGAAAAAGAAGAAGAAAAGGGACATGTCGCCGTCGGCTGACAAACGGGAGAAGTACGCGAAAGAAGAGAAGCAAGTGAAGCTCCATCACCACCATCTTCTCCACCACCACCACGGTGAGCACCGGACCTACCAGCTGCAGCAGAACCCGAAACCCCGCAAGTTCAGCGCGGATAAGCATGTCCCGCAAAGCCGACACCACCAGCGCCATCCCTGTCACATCCGCGGTCTCACCAATGGCACAAAAAACCTGCAGCCGACTGTGCCTCCTCCTCCTCCTCCACCTCCTGCTCTGGTACCAGAGCTGCTGCAGAAGAAGAAGAAGAGGAAGCAAACGGTGCTTCCCGAGCCACCTGCGCTCTTCACCTTCACGCCTCTCAGAGCGGCCGAGCAGAGGGACGAAGACCTGACACGGAAGCTCAAGAAGGAAAATACCGAAGCCAATGTGAAATGCATCCAACTGAAGAACAAAAAGGGTGAGCTTTTTCATTTAATGCATCTAAACATGTGTATGGGTACATATGAATATGCTGTGCTATGTTTCCGTTTGTGTGTGTGTGTGTGTGTGTGTGTATTTGCACTGCTTAGCGTTGCTATATTTATAATGCCTCCCAAATCACATTCATTTGTTTTCAGTGGTCGACTGTAAATAACCTGAAGGTGCATGACCAATTATAGCTATGTGCAATGTCACTACCGTGGAAGTATGCTGATTAACAATTTAAAAAAATAAATAATCAGATGTAGTTTTTTTTTACCTTCTAAATTCCATTTATCCATGCACCTGCAGAGCCAAGGCCCCACAACGAGAATGTCAAGTCCCTAACACTGGAGGAATACCTCCTGAAGAAGAGAAAGAAGAAGAAGAAGAAGCACCACGAGGACGAGCACAATGCCAAAAAGGTCCGATACGTGCACAACAAAGCTGTGCAGACTGTGTGTGCAGGGCTCGGGACGGATCTCACTCTGCCCGTGCGCCCTGATCCGCATCGACCCGGCACCGTGAAGCAGGGAAGCGACCGAGCTGCGGACAACCACCATCCCGGCCGCAGACAAGCTCTCAAGCTCGGGCGCGTTCCCTTCCTCTCGCACCAAGACCACCACATCCGCAGCACCTGCCTGCAGACGGGCACCTGGTGCGGACGCTTCATGCACGAGGAAAGGCAAGCCAATGGCGGGGGATCGGTACTGCACGCGTACGCTGATGAGATCGCGGGTCTCGGCCCGGCTGAGATGGAGTGCTTCTCGCAGGAGTTTCTGGAGTTGGCCTTTGCAGAGACACCCAGAGGTGCAGCCTCGTACGCCTTGGCGGTGGTGCACGGGGCAGCCGCCTTCCTACCGGACTTCCTGGACTACTTCGCCTTCAACTTCCCCAACACACCAGTCAAGATGGAGATACTGGGCAAGAAAGACATCGAGACCACGACTATTGCCAATTTTCACTCTCAGGTATGTAAAGAAAAGCGGACTTTAAAAATCACAACCAAATTCATAGATCATGCCTTTTGATGAGCGCAATGGTCATGATGGTTTCTTTTTCAAACTTGATATCAAACGATATGACTGTTTAGTCTATAACATGTAACACAAGCTCATTTTATCCAGCCAGCAGTCAATTTATAGTCAGAAATCTAAGAAATCTCCTCAACAGGCTCAGTAGCATGTTAAGAACAGCGTTGAGTGGCTTTCTAGAATTATTACGTTAAGCTGCTTTGTTACAGGAATTTTATGAAATATTCTGAATTAAACATACTACTTCAGTCGTTTCCTATACGTATTTATTGATACCAACTGGAAAAAAGGGAATCTATAGTACATTGCATAATTCATAGTACGGAAGCAATTGGTGTGTGGAGTTAAATGGGACTCACTGAAAGACATAAGCTGTTTCTCCTGTCTTAGGTGAGCCGGACGTACTGTTCTGGGACGTACCGGTCTGGACCCATGAGGCAGATCAGCTTGGTGGGAGCTGTGGATGAGGAAGTCGGCGACTATTTCCCGGAGTTCCTCGACATGCTGGAGCAGTCACCCTTTCTCAAGGTAAAACAGATTTATTAAAGAAATAAGTATACATAGGACCATACTGGCTGTAGAAGGTTGTACTCGCGCAGCAGTCAAGTTTTATAGCATCAGTCGTATGTAATGCAGCGTGTTGTGGCAGTCAACATTATTATATGAGGCTATTAAGAAATTACCATGAAAAAGAGGTGGGTGCAATGAAAAAGGCCCATTAGTGAAACTCTGAGGCTTCAATACTTGCAGACAAATTGCATGAGAATTAAAACGCCTGATAATAAGAATAACGCCTTGTGCATCTGTAACTGGTGCACCTTCCTGTAGTCCTCAGGCCAGAATCAGTTAATATTCTGAACGCAGTAAGTTTCTCTCAGGAAGTACCATCATATCTAATTGCCCCATTGCTAATTCATTGTTATCGCTGTTTTCATCCCCCCAGATGACCCTGCCGTGGGGAAGCCTCTCCAGTCTGAAGCTGGACTGTCGCTCTCAAAGCGACGACGGGCCCATCATGTGGGTGCGACCGGGAGAACAAATGGTGCCCACTGCCGACATGCCCAAGTCCCCATTCAAAAGACGCAGGTACAGCTCCAGCTGCAAGAGAGAGCCCTGCAAACACAGTTCCTTACGGCTCCGTATCGTACGAAATACGGAGGGGAATCATTATCAGCTCTCATGCTCACATCTTTTCGTCTAGGTCCATGAATGAGATCAAAAATCTACATTACCTGCCGAGGGCCACTGAACCCAGAGAGGTTCTGTTCGAGGACCGAACCAAGGCCCACGCTGACCACGTGGGCCAGAGCTTTGACTGGCAGAGCACTGCTGCTGTGGGGGTCCTAAAGGCTGTCCACTTTGGAGAATGGTGAGTGTGCTGTAAGGTCGATAAAGCTAAAAGAGTCGGGATGTTGAAAAACCTGTTTATATTGTCCTCTAATGTAATAATGCATTTGGTGCATGTTACAGGAATGACCAGCCTCGAATAACCAAAGACGTAGTGTGTTTCCAGGCCGGGGACTTCAATGAAGTCGTCCACAGGCTGCAGCTGGATCTGTACGAGCCCCCCGTGTCTCAGGTGAGAACTCGTATTCCCATTAACAGTCCAGCAAGATACGAAACAACTGAAACTGAAACCGCTGTGTGTTTTCCCGCAGTGCGTCCAATGGATAGACGATGCCAAGCTCAACCAGCTGAGGAGGGAGGGCGTCCGCTACGTCCGTGTCCAGCTCTGCGACGACGACATCTACTTCATCCCGAGGAATGTCATCCACCAGTTTAAGACCGTGTCTGCGGTCTGCAGCCTGGCCTGGCACATCCGCCTCAAACAGTACCACCCAGGGGAGAAGGACAAAGAGGAGCAGCAGCGGCCCAGTGACCTCAGCTCTAACTTGGGCCGGTTCTCTTTCTCCCCCCCGGCCAGGCACGACGCCACCGTGACCCCCTGTGCACGCCCACAGGCAGACAACATTCAAGGGGGCGTGGCCAAGACCGAAGAACTGGAGTTCCAGAGGCCTGCCACACCTCCCCGGGAGCCTCAGGCGGCTCCTCCCCAGCCCACCAAATCCACCCTCCTGCCCCCAAGGTACCAGGATCCCCACCTCTTCTCAGAAACGGCGCACCCCCGCTGCACACCTTCGAAAGGGCCCCTCCTTCAAAAAGCTCTTAGCCACACGGCAGAGTTCCTTCAATGACTCTCTCTTTCCACTGTGGTTAGAGTGAAGCCAAAAGACGTGTAGACTGAAACTGACACCCGTGTCAATCAGAAAGCCATTCAGTTGTTCTTCACGCTCTTTGCTTCATGTTTGATATGTTTTTAGGCCAAAGCGGTTTGATGGGACTTTGTAACCTATTGCACCTAACCTGGAACTCTCCACTATCTCATTCAAAATGAGATGAGTGTGTCATGTGAAGGAACTATTATTAAGCGGCCACGCTTACTGTAGGACGTTGAGTCAACATGGAACGCTCCGCTGTTCCTTGGTTGGACAGAATTACTTCATCGAAGATGGAAAGTCTGTGATGTCGAAGCATGATATTGACGCGATAGTGTTTCATTCACTTCAGTGGCAAAGACATACACGCTAACCTTACCCAGAAAATATGTGTAGTTTGATTGATTTGATAATGTCAGTTGTCTGTAAAACTGGGCCTTTGCCATTTCAATCAAAAGCTTGCGTCACATTGAATTTCCTGCATTGGTTACAGACAGAAAATCAAAATGAGCATTTTGTTACAAATGTTTCTTTTAAATGGAAGAAGAAACTTTTTTCTTTTGGTGTGAGAATCATAATCATCCGATGAATCTTTTTTCATCTTTACAATTAGGGGTACACTGTCCTTTCTTACTCTAATATGTATTTATTTTCTTAAAATTGAGCTCAGCATATGATCACAGTTGAATAACCAGTGCTAAATATTTCAAATTGTTAGGGTAGGGGCGTTTCTAAATGACTCGGCATTCTTTCTTGAGGTGTGGAGTCTGTCATCGGAATTTTGTATGTATCTTTCGTTTTAGCTGGTTGGTTTTCTGTCAAGATCAAATATGTGATGCTTTTTATCTTAAAGTTACCTGGAAGAAACCATTACTCAATCATGGTGTCGTGCTTACAAAATCCTATTCAGCAAACCGGTTGTTTGTGAGAAATGTCTATAAATATTTATACGTTTTTGTATTGAGTTCCATGTGGAAATTAGTTGACAGATACAAAGCCTTTGTCTTCTGTTGTGTTGCTGTGTTTCAACACAATTGTTGGATGTTTTTCACGAGGCATTTTTAATCAGTTTTCCAGGTGTTCAGTTCAACACGTTAGAGATCTGAGGCAAATTTGTCTGTCTCGTTAAAAAGGGAATGCAGAGACTTTCTATATTTTTTTTAATAAATAATTTTGTTTGAAACCAAAATTAACTGTACAGTTACACCATATGCATAGTCAGGATACATCCCATTCACTGCACCTTTTAAGCTATCGACGCTGCTTTAAAATTAATTTCAAAAACTACAGACAGATGCGAAAATAATTGCAGAAAAATAAAACTGATTGGCAATCGGGAAACACTGATAGATATTTAGTTTGTTGTCTGTATAATAGAAAACGTGAGAATGAACCATTTAACGTTATTCACATTTCATGACAGAAGAACCAATGCACACATAACTTTTATATTCACATATTCTAGTTTAACAGCGTTGCTTTAAGCGTCACAACAAGCAGCGTCAAATTTACTCAAGTTTATGAGTCAACATCCAAGTCATCGGGCCGAGTTTCTGTCCATGTTGCGCGATGCTCAACGATACAAAAAGAATCTACCTTGTTGACGAGTAGTACAAAGTGCATCATAGCTGAAGACCAGATGCTTCCTGTTCTCGGCTGCTGAGGGTGCTACTGTGCAACACAAAGGTAAGCTTTCTTCAGCGCATTGAGTACGCGTCCTTTAAGCGGTTGCGATGCGTCGCGTTGAACGCCATTACAAGAGCAGGTGCAGTTTTGATATTTTTCGAGATGGGTGACTAAATATCAATGCCAGGTCTCCGGATAACTCCTCGGGCCTTTTGGCTTCCCGAAACGGTTCCCAAAACCTGTGGAAGATGAAGGTGTTGTCATAAAAATGCGATATAAAGATTAATGATTTATTGATGTATTAATGTTGACGTAGACAGAGGCCTACCAAACTTGAACAACGTAAATGAGAGACCATGCGATACAGGTTGTGTTCCAGGTTGAGTGGGAGGCGGTGGAGGCTCAACTTTGGCTTTTAATAAAAAAAAGTTTTGAAACATGTTAATCCTAAAGAACATCAGTTCCCTTTATTGAGCTAACAATTGAATAGGCACTTACGTCTTGGTTTGTTTCTAAAAAATTTCAGACTCTAGGGAAAAGGAAACAAAAACATAGATTTCATCTACATTTTCAGATAGATTTTCATCTATAGATCTACAGATTTCTTAAAACGTTCCACTTGACGAGCTGCGTGTGTCTCGTGTGTTACCCTCGTCCGAGTCATGCCCTTCTCGTTGCCTTTGTCCGAGTTGTTTCCTGCTGTCTCAGCGTTCACGGAGGCGCTGTGGTTCGAATCATGCTGCCCCTCTGCTGCTGATGAACACATAGACGGAGAGGAAATGAAATGTTTGGCTGCATTTTGAAACTGACCCGATCCGACCCCCAACTACTTACTCCACATAGTTTTTGTGAGAAAGATCACCTGTGTTGTCAAGACTTGAACAATAGTTTTATATGACAGACAGTGCAATTTGTTTATTTGAGGAAATATGCGTCTAATAATACTAAAGCTTGTGTGTGGAAGAGACTACCGCGTCGTTTTTTCGCCCCATCTAATGTCTGAAGCAACTCACCACTTCCTGCTCCGGCCACAACCACAGGAGGTGGAGCAGGCTGCCGAAACTCAGTGAGGGGCTCTGCAGTAGAAACACAGTACTTTAGGTCGACAATGAACAGGACAACAGCTAACATTGTGTTTTCCCAGTCAGGCTTTCCGTCGTTGATTTGGTAAAGGAGGCCTGCCGGTGGTGTAGTAAAATGTAATGTCCAAAAACTACAAAAATCACGGAATTGAGCTTTGACATTACCCCTTATTGTGATTAACATAGGCACATTGTATTGAGTCCACCCACACACACACACACCTTCCTGCTTCTGTTGCGTAGGAACTACGGCCATTTTACAAAGTTCAAAGCGGACATTTACGGCCCTGACAACATTCCTAAACTAGAAGTGCAAAAAAAAAAAATCAACAACAATTACTTGTTCTTGTAATTAATCAAGCCAGAAGGGAAAAGCGTCTTCAACCATAAAATCTAACAATATATATTAATATTATTATAATATTAAATAGCTCACCTGATCTGAAGGAGTTAGCTCGAACACTCTGGGGGGGGGGGGGGGGGTAGAAAAAAACATTTGAGTGTCCTAATAACTGGAAACTTAAGACTCTAATTAGACAAATGAAAGCACTGAGGTCAGTGCACGGAAAATGATTCGGTCCGTGTCTCAGGTTCTGGCGGATATGATAGTCATTACCTTGCTTCTGTTCATAACTACGTGGCGGAACTTGTCAGGCTGATCGGTGCCATCCCACTCGAAGGAAAAGCCTGCCCTCGGGAAAGGCCCCGTTGCATCCAAGGGCGACAGGCAGGGGGCTGTTTTCTCCTGAACTGTTGGAAAAGGGCACATAGTTTAGATAACACGTTTTAGCGGCATGAGTTACAATCTGTCTTTTTTGCTGCAAGGAGGCATTGATACACTTACTCTCCTTTGCGGGGAGGATGAAGGACTCGGGGGTTCTGTCAGGAAGAGGAGGAGTCGGGCTCTCCTCGGCTGCACACCCAAAGATAAAATAAACTTCTTATTGCTCATTTAATAACAAGGAATCCATGGTCCTTCCCTTTTTGCATGGGTGGTCATGTTGTCTCTTAAAATAACATGTTTCTATTTGGTCTTACTTTGAGAAAGCAGCAGAGGAATCAGTGGCTCCGGACGTGGGGGGGAAGCGTGGATGTTTGTGGAAGTTGTATTTGATGCAAGATCAGAATGTCTTGCCGCAACTGAAGATACCACAATTATTATTATTGAAATAATCACAAGCATGTAGTAATTCCATAATAACTGACTGATATTAGGCAAACGGTTGAGTCTTTCTAAGTGGGTTTAAAATAATACACTATAGCTGGCTTCATTTCTAGCCAGTTTGTATTCGCATTTGGCTGCATGTTATAAATATCTTACCTGTGACGGTCATTTTTGGTTTGAGACTCTACAAAAAAAAAAAAAAAAGAGAAGTAGGTTGCTGTTAAAAAACCAACATTGTACATTAGGGCTGTGGAAAAGGTTCATTTCCCCTTTCATTTGAGCCGCCACATAACAATGAGTGGCGCGTGCATCATCTGCATTCTCGATTGCTGACTCATATATTTCAATATGCATAATTCTTTATCTTGCAAACCCTCATGAAAAACACAGTTTTCCTTACCACACTCCTCTTCCATGGTTTCAGCTCACTCTGAGGTGAAGTGGCAGCTGGCTTTGTGTCGCCAGACCATTCTGAAGACCTTCCTATTCTGTTCAGCATCTCTGCCGGCCTGACGGCTGAATTCTGCTTCACGGGAGCTGAAAGACCGTTTTCACTGTTACATTTTTAAGTCAAATCTATTTTCGGCTTTGTTTTTGTTGATCGTGATCGACGGCGTGAAGTCACCTTGATCAACGGGCAACTCAAATGATGCGGGGGTTCTCTCAGGAAGTGGGGGGGCAGGCGAGGGGGGGTTGCCTGGAGAAATGTACCATAGTTTGTTATGGATATTGTACTTAGCACTTCACGTTCAACAAAATAATTGCATTAAAAATTCATGTTATTATTCATCTCCAGACACGTGGCACTATAAGAGAAAAGCATAATTCAGTGTGCCATAGAGGATATCTTGGAGTTTTAGATTTTTCTCACTTCCCAGCTCCCTAACAGCCTCAGCAGCAGCATTGGGTGGAATGATGACTGTTAACTGGTCAAAGGCACCTGAATGCTCTGAAAAACAAAAAAGAACACAAAATCTTATCCACTGCGTTCTCTCGTACGCTTAAAGACAAACTAATGATTCATATTCCATTTATTTTTGTCTGTACTGTGGACACCAACCTGCAACCACTGCAATTACATAGGATTCAGGGGTTCGTTGAGGTAGGGGAGGTGCCACCTCCCCATTTATGTCAACTTCAACAGTACCTGCTGAATGCACATCAGTTATTGCAAACATCTACAAAATTGAATTCTACTACCCTGTGGTCTATGTAGTCTGGACTAACACGCACACACATGACCGTTTACCTGAGGCAGGAGAGTTAAGCTCCAGAGTCTGTTCATTGAGACACAGTGAGGGCACGCTGAAGATGGGGCTTACTGCCCATTGCGTTGCGTCTTCGTCCGATTCAATGACCGCTTCCTCTGGTGAAGGGGAGCTCGTCGGCGTGTCAAAGTAAGGGTCCTCCACCATCAGGCAAATGGCCGCCGTCACAGACGGAACAGTTGGAGGGCTCACTGATAGTGTGGCCTCGCTTTCCTCTATCCTCTCCTCTCCCGCGGAGGCTGTGCGGCTGTTGTGCACTTGTGTCAGTGAGGTCTTCGGCCCCTCCTGCGGGGCCTGGGGGGCGGTCAGAGCCCCGGGAAGTGTTCGGAGTAGGTGCCATTGTTCCTGGTCCCTCAGCAAGTCTTTAGCTCTCGAGGCGATGTGATTTTCCGAAGCGGAAGGCAAGGGAGTGTGGTACAAGACGTCCCTCTCCTCATCAAGGAGGTGCTGGAATTGTGGCCGCAGATCCGACTCGCTCAAGTCACAGCGCTTGGTTTCAATATTAGTGGTGATGGCGGATGGGACTGTCGCCACCTGTTCAGTTTAACACACTGTGAGTCACAGCAGCAGCTTTCGATGAATTAAGACAATTTCATGCTGGCAAATATGTAAATGTAGTATAGTGATGCATCTTATTATCCACAGGTCCTTCAAGTTGAACAAATAACAAAATACTTTAGTGTTTAGCTTCAAGTAAAGCCGTGTTGACAACCGTCATAGTTTATTTGTCTGCAATTGAATGAGTTTCCTATCAGAACACGTGGTCTTGCCTCAGTGCTTCTGAAAACACAAGTGAGCCGGCCGCAGCTGTTGTTTCTGCCTTCGTGCCGGTTGTGCTTGTCAATTTGTGGTGGTGGAGCAAGTTTCACACATGTCTCCATTGTGTTTTTAATTACGTCTAGCGAATTAACAAGGTAGCGTCGCTCACCTCATTTCTGCAGGTCTCCGTGTCCATGAACTGCAAATATCTTTCAAACAGCATCTTGATGGTTCTGTACACCAGCTCATATTGTTCCTGAGGTTAAACAACACAATCCTGCTCTGTTACAAACACACACACACATAAATCATCCAAATGTCTTTGACAGAAGGAAGCGACTGTCATAAAAAAGTGTAGTTCTGCCAGTTGGAAGAAGTGGTGCTTTGTTAAAAAGAAAATACAGCGGCTACCTTGGTTTGAACCACAGAGGGCCTCTGGGTTCTCATGTTTTGAACCAAGTCATAGATGTTGAAACCTGGAGTGACCATCTAAAAACAAGCAAACAAACATCACTATACAGCTGTTAAATTGACCTGACTTTAGATGGTTAAATGCAAATGTATTGGTAACTCCAGGCGTGTCTTACCCGTTTCTTCAGGAGGTTCCAGGTATAATCAATGACACAAAGGACTCCTGTTCTACCGCAGCCAGCACTTCAATCACAGCATCAAAAAGTCACATTCCAACCACTCAGCTTGTTTCCCGAGAAAGGGACTCTCAATTCAGTAAATCAAATTATGTTGTAGTACAGTCACCATGATGGTATTTGCCTTCAAACGCTGTCATGCTTATCAGATTTATTTTTTTTCGGTAGTCATTGTACTGCATTGACTGAGCCGCACCCATTCCATACAGTACGCAGGTTGTGTGCACTTATTTCTAACTCCTTATTCAAGCATCCTAAAATGGCTGACCCAAGTGAAATCATTTGAAATACTGATTTAAGATTAAAAGTTAAAAGATTTGCTAAATAAACCCGTGTCACTGTGTCCGACAAGAGTCGATTCAACCCTGTGGTAATTGTGGAGAACACAGCTACAGTTAGTAGTTGGGATTGGGTTGTAGTACAAGATGAGACGTTTGGGCTTTTGAAATTACATCTTTTGACAGCAACCTAGTGGTGAAAGTTTGCCCGCTTTGAGGTGGCATCCGTCTACAGTAGTTGTATCAGTAAAATATTTCCGTCACAATTAGCTAATTAGTTATCACAAACCAAACACTTCCTGTTTGTTTTTAAAATTATAAGTACATGTTTGAAATGCCAACATCATTCATATTTGCAAAGTCTTCGTCTTTTTGCAAACACTACTCCCTTTTCCTTACTTATTATAAGGCCAGACACAGCAGCTGTACAACCAAGCACAGCAACACTCAATGCAATTGTCTGTCTTGATTGATTGATTGATTGAATTGAATTGAGTAAGTTTCAGTAAATCGGTATAACACTACCTCCACATTACTGTGTCAAAGCCACGGCAGGAAGTGCATAACTTCTAAGGCCTAAAGTAGAGGATGTATACATTCTGCCCACACAACATACATAATAGTAACAACTCAATCACAACCAAAGTATAACTCTTCAGTGTGATCACTGTTTGACCGCAACAAAATAAGCTTTGTCCAGCAGCTACTTCTTTAGGCTTAAGTCCATATAGGTTGTTGAATGTTGAAGGGATACAACATTCCCTTCACATTGAAGGGATGTTTTGGTCCATAATACAAAGAGGCTGCCTCGCCGTACTTCTTGAGAGTATAAAGTGCTCAATCATTGAGAGCCGGGATGTAGTAGACAGAGAGCCTGTTCAATATGCTATGAGATATAATTAATAAGATATAATTCTTTAATGACAAATTGATATTCATTGTGGATTTTACCATCACTAGAATAGCTATTTAATTGTTTATCAAATGGAAACAGACCACAACAGCCCTGCAATTATCTATAATAGATGGATCAGGACAGTTTTTCTTAAAGAGATTGAGTAGAATTTATTTCCATAGAAAGGCCTGACCTGCAGTGGATGCAAAAGGGGACGTCGTCATGGGGTTGATAGGAACGCATCTCATCCAACATGTCCAGGATGGGAGGAATGGAGTCTGGCACACCGTGATCTGGCCAGTTGAAATAGTGCAGCTGTTTCAAAGTTCGGCTACACTGTAAAAATTGAAGGATTGCAGACAGAAATGTAAGCTGCTTTTTTAAAGCATAACCATTTTTGCTTTTTGCAACAATGAAGGCTAAATATTTACATAAATTATTTCTCAAAGATGTCTAGTTCGACCATACGGGCTATTTTGACAACTTCCCTTTGTCTTTGCTGATGACAACACATTTATCTGATAATATCTTGTTGGTCTCAGGAGAATTACCTGTCAATGACACTCACAGTAAGTGTAGAGTATAAACACTACTTACATCACGATATGTCACCCGTAACGTCCTTGTCATATAATCCCCTTTGTTTTCCTCAGAATCCTGTAATAAGTCAGCAATGCATCTTCAAGGTCAATATTTGTTCTTTCTGCTTAACGATAGTCTATAAGTGTTGTATGTCACAAATGCTGTGTGAAGATACTGTGAGATTACACTGTTGGAGCGCTTCTACAGAAACATTTCAAAATAGGAAGTGTGACTACAAGAACATAAATACTCACACAGTGAACAGTGAAAGGCTCACAAAAAAATGGCTGCTCTTGTTCCTGCGGCCAGTAGCGCTCGCACTTTTTCTAAGGGGGTGAGGAAAACACAGTGTTTACACATTTTAATCTAACATAGTTTTAAAATGCAAGACTCAACAAAACACAGGCATTTCCTATCCATACAGTATTAACACCGCATCTGAAGTCATGCTGAGAAGCTAAAAGCGGACTAGTGGTCAGTGTGACTATGTTTAACCGGGTCATTTAGCTTAGTTTCCTCACACCCTGAACGCAACACGGTCGGCGTCCGGATACGGCGAATGAGCTTGAATGGCATTCAAGCAAATGGACCACAGTGTGTTTGAGGAGAAGTGAAATGCGGACACGTAGAAAATCCTGTTACCTTTCCCATCTCGAATTCTCGACAGGCCATTATCACAACCTGCAGCCAAGGAATTCAAAGGGTCAGTTCATGCAACTAAGCAACGGGTTTTGAGGGCAACGCCGTGTGTTCTCAAAGACGTTTTTGTGCCCGCAGATGGCAGGTGGGTCATACCTTGACGTTGTACTCCCAAAGCATCCTCAAGAAGTCCAGTACTGTGTGTGGCAGAGGACCCTGGGTAGCAATGTAGGCCCTGGATCCTGACACTCCCTGGAGGCAAAACGCAATATATAGTCAAGAGATATTTGCCTAAACCATGTTAGTTTGCATGAATTTACAAATGCGAGGTGTATAAAGATTATGAGGATTCTGTTAATTTACCGTGATGAAACTAGCGTTGATGTACTCGCTGTCATTTTTTGCCGTGGCGAGAGTGAGCTTTACTCTGGTGTGGTCAACTAAAAGGGGACAAATAAGAGGTTGGACCATCAGCGTGGCACAGGTATGGAGGATTTGATGTAGCTGTACTTCCTAGCCTTGTGACCAAAAAGAATTTAAAGAATTAGAAAGGAAATGTTTAGTATTAGTGCCTTTTTCTCCACGGATATATTTCACATCCTCCATCGGTTAAAATTATTAGAATAGATATAATTTCTATGAAATAAATCCAATATAACGTCAACATAACTAGTCACATTAACCTAGAAGAACATAACAAATGAACGAACAAGCTCATCAAAATTTGTATGATTTCAGGTCATCACAAACATCAATTCATTTGCAGACGGAATTTACCTATCGTGCCATACTATTTGCATTTAAATAAATATGTTTATTTGAAGCATCTACGCACTGTGTATGTTTGGTATTGGTGGGCCAGTATATGGAGTTCAAATGTCTTTTTGGCCTAGATATATTTAAATTCTAGGTCAGATCATATTTGTATGTTATCTGAACGGCCTCGATGGAGACAATGCAGAGATGCAAGATGCAAACTGCTTTTTCATGAATGTCTCCAAAGCAAAGCTTACAGGGAACGATGTCTTTGTATCGGTTCTTCTTGTTGTTCTCTTGTTTCTCTGCAGTCTTGGAGGGGTAGGTCTTGTCGGTGCGGTACTTATTGGACAGGCTCTTCAACCTCTGCAAAACAGGAAAGATGTACAATTCCACATTCAACTACAGCCTTTTAGCTACTTCGCACAACATCAGAGAAGGTCTTGGTAACCCTTTCTATGCCTAAGATGCATTACGAAGATACTTTTATTGTGTTTTAATCTGCTTATTGACTTAAGAAATAGTCAAAACACATTATGAATTATGACGTATTATGGTCCTTGACCATTTCAATTAGCGAAACAAAGCGAGGGATTATGTTGTATGAGTAACAGCATATAGGGGCAACCAAATATATATCTATTGCTTTTTGTGGTATTAAGGGTTGTGTGCTGTCCGCAAAATATCTTAGGAACCATCTTACTGCTCTTACCGCCATATTATACGTGACCAAACTTACAATGCTCATGCATACTCAGCGTTTATGTGCTTCAAACCCAGAAGACCAGAATTTGTGACCCGCTTTACTAGAAACTGACACAATGACTAAGAATCTGAGAGGACTTCCACGCAAAATTTACTGTGCGAAAGGTCGGACACTCAAATTGAAGTCATGGCTCGTCCAGGCTTACAGGATTTGTTGAGACACTGGTCTTTTTGTTCAGAGCCCAATTCTCACAGCCTGCTGAAGGCCTTCGTTACTGTCTGTGCTGCTTACACTACAGAGCGCTTTTTGTTCTTAAAGGAAGTGATGCAATAGACCCCTTCCTCCAGAGTGGTCGGGCTGTGAGTAGCATGTGAAGCACAGGGGACTGTCCTCAGGCACTGGCGTGTCCCTCGTCACCATGGCAGCAGCCCTCAGATGATGTCATCCTTCCACTACTGAGGAAGAGGGTTTTTGTTTTTTGTGTGTATGTGTAGGTGCTTGTGTGTGAATGCACACGCGTTGTTAAATGTACCGGTAAGACTGAAAACATGATGAATGAATGTACGATTAGACTATACTATAATCTTGGTTTGTTGTAATTCATTCGCTCGTGGGTCCTTCGTGTCCATCCGCATTCAATGACAATGTCTGAGTGCAAAGAGGAAGCTCGAATGTGCTGTGTCTAACTGCGCGTTACTTCCTCGAACACGGTTGCTTTTGAAACATTTTGTAAGTCTGTTAACTATGAACCTAACCTCTCATTGTACTTATATGTACTTATATATATAAATATTAATATACAAATATAAAAAACACATACACATAGCTGTTAAAACATGGCTTCTGGTGATGTGATAACGAAAGCCACGACTTCACTAAGTCTTCTACGGGGAGGCTTCCTCTACACTTCTCGAGATAGTGAACTACTTCAACAAAATAAAGGAACGGTTGACTCACCGCAAACTCCCCACCAACGCCATTAGGATCCTGCACGGCCTCCTGTTTCTCCAGCTGGACCAGGAGGTTCCTCAGTATCACGGCCTGCTCCATGGCTGGTTCCACACTGCCTGCAATAGGGCAGCTTTCAAAGGCATGTCAGGACACAGAGGTCCTCACCCCAGGGGTCACGGATTAAGGCCGCCGAGCCTCGGGTTCGGGGGCCACGGCGCTGCTGCTGTTGCTGCTGCACGGAGCACTTCTCTATTGCAACTGTCACATCAAGGAACTACTGTGAGGGAACGTGTGAACTGTCTTTGTGGAAGCTAGAGTAAACCAACAGGTTCTGTGGTCAGATTAAAAAATATTGCCGCGCCCCTCGGGTGTCTCTCACTGGGTCCTAAAGTCACTCGGGTGTTTTCATACTATGACAGTGGAACACAAAGGAGAAACGCACGCAAACGCAGCGGGCTAAACATTTTTCACACGAGCGTCACAAACAACTGTTGGTGTCTAATGTGAGAGTGGCGTGCAGGCGGTCTGGCCTGTTGGACTGCATTCGGGAAGGAGGGGCGGAGGAGGGATTTGGGTAGGGATGGGATGGGAGTGGTGAAAACAAAGTCTGCCTGATGATCCAGAAAATCCTGATGTTCTGAGCCGGCACGTAACCTCTGTAAACTGTGGCACGCTGCTCTTGGTACGTGGTGAAGACAGACAAACTAAAATGTGGCTTTAGCATCGACCGTCGACTAAACTCGTTCTATAAGGTCCGTTTTAACATCGTGGCCTTCCGTCTAGTTCTATTGGTTACATCTTACATTTACACTTACATGCTTAAAGCCATCAACGGAAACTAATAATTGGATCATTTTTATCTGTTATAACTTTAAAGAAGTGCTTTCTGTGTAATACACTACAGTAAAGTCAAAGGGCAGTCTTGCTTTTGCTCACTGTTTCTCTACAGTGGCCATTTATTTTGATTAAGTTCATAGTATTCTACAATAGAAATGATATAACGTAAAGCTTTAAAACTTCATGTGTCCGTCATGTGTCCGGTTCGGTGATTTGTTTCAAACTTGACTACTTAGGACCGGATTAAAGAGATAAGGGAGGAGCTCTGTTTTAAGGAACAACGGTCATAAAGTCACAGTTACAAGACTTTCCTTTTATAGCAAGCTAGATTAACGTATTTCATACGGTATGAAAAGACTAATAATAAAATATATATGTACCGTACGCGTTTATCTTACTGCTAGCATAATGCTGTAAAGGAGAACACTATGAGAACCGACTTACCAGTGGCGCTGATGTGGGAGGAGGTTCTGCTGACATGATGCAGAACGGAGTAGCACGCTGCGTCCTGCAGGCGCTGGACATCTGTAGTGTGGTGACATCTAGTGGCTCTGTGATGGACCAACCCGCTGGTTCTTTTTCTGTCACAACTCCCAGACCATCACAACCCTCTCGTTAGAACAATGCAGATGACGTTCTAACTGTGCAGAACATAATAAATACTGAAAATAGTTCTAGATTTGGGGTTTCGTTCGTAGCCATCACAAAATAAACTGCTTCATACGCTGGAATCATTACTGATCTAAATGAAAAACATGATTATTGATATTTTACAATGTTTACATTTGTTTAAAGTTTTTTGTAGAAATCCAGTGTAAAGACAAGCTCACCACTTACACGTTAGGATTTTGAAAGTTTTCTCACTTGATGAAAAATGTCTTTATGAAACCTGTGTTTCAAGGCGGGGAGGTGGAGAGGTGGGCTGGTTGGTTGGAAGTGAATATGTATGTACAGTACATATTTGTTCGGGGTATAACAGCGTGCACGTACAGGAAGTTGTGATACCACAGTCCATCTCTACTGCTTCCTGTGTCTTTAAGATTTCACTCTTCTACTTCAGACATTAAAATGAGGATCCTGTATCTAATTTTGCTGTTTACTGGTGAGTAAACTATGATTTACAACTTGTGTTAATGATAGCAATGCTCATTTTATCCATTCTAAAAGTTCTGAGAGACAAACTTTTTATTTTTAATCTACACTGGATTAGTAACTTGATAAAAAGATTAAATATTCCACTTCTGTTTTCTTAGTGAGAACATTAAAGGGCTGCATTCATTATAATAACTTATATATTTATAAACATATAAATGCAATATTTAAGGACCGGTGTAAGCCGGTGTATGTCATGATGTTGAAAGGCAACTGAAACCAGTTATGAGAAGCTCACACCCACATACACTTTCAATTTAATTTAGCAAAGATTACGTTTCGTGAAGATTACATACACCGTTGATAAAAGAAAATTGTGGAAAACATGAAAACAAATACATTCAACTCTTATGTGGAACAACCGGAAACACAATATTGCATCTGATTGCTGTGGCTGAGAGCAGTTTAATTCTAATTGTTCTCGTGTCTTTCAGAAAGTCTTCAGCTCCAGTGTGATAAAAAGCACATCACAGCACATGTTGGAGGTGAACTCAATCTAATCTGCAATTATGATCCAAACCTATTCCGGTACAGTAAGAAGTACTGGTGCAAAGGGCACTCGAGAAGCACCTGTACGATTTTGGTGGATTCAGATAGTAAAACTGACAACGCTCACAGGTCTCACATAGAAGTAAGGAGCGGATTGCTGCGTGTGAAGGTCAAGGATCTCACGCTTCACGACGGTGGTGTGTACTGGGTCGGGATCGACAAAATGTATGCTGACATCATGACGTCCATTGATGTTATCATCACTGATGGTAAGAATGCCTCACAATATCAGGAAGGACACATTCTCCCGCCCCCGACTCCTTGAAGCTTGGTCAGAGGCCCTAAACCGGGGTTGTCCGCCTTCAGCCTCTCTGTTTGCGGCTCCCAGAAGCTGTGACAGAAAAAATAACATGAAAACAGAAACCTTTATTTGACTTTCATTTTTTCACAATGGTCAATTTTTCAAAGGGAACTCTTCTTGCTGCGATAACAATCTTATCTCAATCAGTTTATAACAGAGAAACCATCTAGCTGTGTGCTTCGTGGTCGACGTGGGCCGTGTACTTCGACGACCGCAAAGTCTGAACCGAGCGGCCTCAGAAATTACGCAGGGGAGGGGGGGGGATTTCTGTTTGCGTTACCATTCTTTTCCTGTCTAGCAACCTGCTGTAATTGACAGTGACAGTGATATTTGCTCGCTCGCAGTCACCATGGTCTCTACATCTGATTGGTTACAAACCCCGTCTTTGGATTGGCTGGAGTGATGCCTTCACACAACTATAGAATCCGTATTGAAAGTTGGCAAAATATTCACAGATTTGGACTTTTCCGGTATTTTACAAATACGGACCGGTCTGAGACTAAGAGCAGCTTTTTCTTCATTTAAAAGAAATGAATCAGTTAAAACAATTTTTACATAGGATACTATCCTAACTTATATTGTGTTATTATATATATATTATTGAAATGCAAGCTGCATTGAATCTTGCATTGTTCATAGAAAATCATATTTGTGACAAAGATTTATTCTTATAAAAAAATAAGGTAATTCATCTGGTTCTCTTTAATTATCAAATAAAGTAGGAAGTGATTGAGTAGTTGAGTAGCAAACTCAGATTTGAGAAAATTGAGATGCATCAATTATCAGTTTAGAATCGAATAGTTGACCTCTGAATCGGAATTGTGAGGTGCCAAGAGATTCCCACTCCTAGTGAAAGCCGTATAGTTCGAAAAAAGGAAAAGGTTTCAGCCAGAGCTGGTAATTATGTTATTCTGAGGCCAAGGAAAACAATAACATAAAAACAGCACTGAAAATAAAAAGGTGTTTTAATTCAATTGAATAGACATTGGTTATCAGCATCAGGTAACAATTTTCTAAAAATAAAACTGATATGTGTAACCACCAGTAGGTACGGAGGGGCGGATATCGTCCCGTAGGGATATTAATTAATCCACCACGGACCCACAGATGACCAGTGTAAACAGACCAAAGCAACAACATTCCCCCAGAGTACAATATTTGAGTTTCTTAAAATATCAAAAAGGTACGAAACAATTCATTTCAATAATTCCCGTCAACTCTGGGAATGTCGTCAAAGAATAAAAAGAAAAGGTTTTAATAAAACAAGTTTGATTCTAATGGGGCCGTAGGCTGCAGTGGGCTAAGAAGGGAAAAGGCACTGGGTCTGGGGCAAAAACCAGAGCGTCACTAAGGGAAAATTATTTTTTCTAAAACACTGGTAAAAACTACATACCAGCTCAAAACGGGTTGTCAAAACCAGACTCCAACACGGGAAGACAGCATGCTCCTGTAGTGTCATAAAAATGGAGCCTTTATACCCAGACTAATTGGTGAACCAGGAGGTGGGAGGGGCTTAAACCTGTGGTATCACGTGAGGGACATTTCCTCCCTGGCTACATATTATATTACGAAGTGGGTTTACATTGAAGGGTGGTGTGTTAGTGGCCCACAAGCACAAACGAATCATTAGTATTTCCCATGTCAGAATTTTGATCCATGTAGTCAGACGAATTTATGGAACGCTTTCTGAACTGTCTGACCTTTCTACATTTTGACAGTCCCGGTGTCCAAACCCATGCTTCGTCCCCTGAGCTCTCTGGAGGACCGGCTCACCTGCCGGGGGAACCCACTGACAGTGCGCTGCGGTCCAACTAAGGGCACCAGCGTTGATTACGCGTGGCACCGACGCACACTACACAACTATTTTGTGCTTCAGTACTCGCCAGACTTATACCTGACATGCGGCACGCTATGGAAGGACAGCGAGTATTACTGCACAGCAAAAAATGGCATAAGCAGTCAGGAGAGTGACGTCCTGTCTGTGAAGGTGCTGATGCCTGCAGAGCGAGGCTGTAAATATGTGGTTACGTTGCGGGGTAAGAACCGATGTTGCACTAACTCACTAAAACAAGACTAAGTAAAAGCTGCTGTAAAGATTCTGAGTCTAAACAATAGCAACTGTTATCCATACTTCATATACTAAAGCCCTAGTGTGTTTGATTTGACATTGGTGGCTTAGCAACCCTCAGAGACATGGCACGTTGACAATGGGCTTGTTTGACATAAGAAATCATAGTATAAAAACAAACAAATGGGCGCTTCAGATATGAATACACAATACACTTTGGAAATGGGCTTGGCAGAATGGATTGATTGCGAACTGAAATCTTTACCGCACAAAGTCCAAGCACATAAAATAATTCCAATGTGATGTGTGTTGTTGTTCGATCATCAGAACAACCCTTTTACGACTGTGAGGACAAAATGAGCACCGCCACGGCCACAGCTCCACCTCCCACCACCCGCCAAGTTACCACGACGATCCACTCTGACACAACAAAAGGGTCTTTTACAATCAATCAAACTGATCAAGATCCGTTTTTCAGCAGGTTAGTCTACACTATGAAGTACTATATTATATTTTTGGATTAATTCACTACGGTTCTCTACTCGGTCTTTAGAGCAAATAACAGATAAACAAATAAATAACAACTATGGCAAAGATTTAGCCGGGCCCAATGTCCATGTGCACTGTGCACACATTGTGTGTAAATAAATAATAAATGTATCTATAAAGTTTTGTTGTCTTTCAAAAACAATCACTAATCACATCTTTGTTTTCACAGGGCTTGGACAGGAGTGCCGTTTTGGTATACACTGCTCCGTTGGGGCTCTTTTGCGTCCCTATTGATAGTTTTGTGTGTCATACTCAAATGCACAAAAAGAAGACGCAAAAGTGGCAAAAGGAAGAGGAGGGCTTGTACCAGGGTTGTGGCCCAGTTGGCTCATTGACCTCATTTTCACAGCGGTAGTTCTGTAGAAGTCGTATAAGCTTGTGGCACATTTGTTTATGGTTTAACGATTGGTGAAGAGTCATGCACATTCAGCATGTCCGTCACAGCGCTCTATTGCAGCATTCATTATCACAGACAATTAAGTCAGACTAGAGACCTGTTTAACCTACCAGGGGGTGAAGAGAAGCGGAATGATCTGCCACGACATCGTCGTGCTCAATTATATCGGTTACTATGATAATATTGGGTTTGTTACATAATATTAGAAAGCAATAGTTCAAAGAAAGGATTCCTTTTCAATGCCAGCTGGGAAAGATGACTATGACAATGGATGGGAAAGGAGACCAGTTGTTGCTCTGCTTTTCATTTCATTTCCTTTCTTTGTTAACTTTTATCAGAACAAACATATGCAATTAGCCTCAGTGTTTATTTTCATTCCAGCATGTTCACAGCAGGAAGCAAACCCACAGATCCTGAACAAAGGGCGTCTCTCATCTCTAAAATGCTCAAATAATGTCCAAGCACTCGCACTGACTTTGAGTATGTTGGCTTTAAGTTGATACACATAATCTTTGACATACAATCCAATGAAAGTATGTGTGTAATTATAATACATGTAAATAAAGCGTACTGTTTTTGCAGATTGTGTTTCAGTAAGTGTACCAAGGTAGAGTTTATGAGTGACGCAGCCATATAAGGATAGTTTATCAGAGTCTAAAGAAATACAAATACCTCTCCATTTATTTGTCATCCTATCTGTTGCTGATGTTGAATGATGATTCAGCGGCGAAGTGTTTTATGGCATGGATGTTTACTGTCTACGTTTGTTCAATAAAAATCCAGAGATTTGGCAGAGAAATATTAATTAATTAACATTATCGTGGCTAGAAGCTGCAGGTGCCACTGACATTTGAATTCTCAAACTAAAAATGTAACTTCCCATTCCAAAACTTCCCAACATGAGTCATGTGTTATGTTTTAAGAGCTTGGAAGCGACCTAAAAAAGAAATGAACTATGTGACTCAGTGGCAAGAGAGAATAATAGACGGATATTTTATTAAAAGATTAACAAGTCAGAGGTAAGCAGATCACTTCCTCGTATCGAGCACGTCAGGGTTGGGTCCATTTCGTTGTGTTCTGGGAAGGCTTTGTGTGACGGTCTCCATTGTTACCATAGAAATTGTGGTGGATTGTGACATGGCCATAATTAGAAACATACCCACAAGGTCAAACAGTTGCTAGAAAATGTAAGGAGGAGCATTCATATTGATTTTTAAAGATCTTTACATATTCTTTAGTGAATATGTTGCTAGGGCAACAGATTTGCTCCAAGATTACCTCCAGTTTGCAACTGTGTTAAGAACATTGAAACAGGGGATGCAAACGGAACCTTTTTACGTTTCAATCTTTAACAAATGCATCAAGAAATACAACGTTAGTACTTCCAATAAATCACTCAATCATTTAACTAAGTTAAATCTTCAACTTGTGTTTGTAAATGCTGGGTGTTTAAGTGCGTTTGATTGCGTGGTATTTCTTATGAACTAAACCTCCCTCGTGCTTTATATCTTTTTTTTTTATTTTTATGTTTTCATATGTTGTAAACTTTGACTTTATGGTGGAACATTTTAGCAAATGCGTCACTGATTAAGAGGCCGCGCCCGTTTCCGGTGGTGTAACAGCAGAAGGCAGCCGCCAGTCCGCAACTTCCCATCCTGGATCAGCTGCTGCTTGGGTAGGTCAAATCCGATCCACCGATATTTTTTAAATAAACTGCTCTACAAACCCGACGGAGGAAAAAAGGAACGGGTGAACGTTTAACGCGACTAGGACGACGTATAATTGACGTTACGTCAGCTCGATGATAGTTAGCTGTGTGCCGAATCGGTCGTTAACGTTCGCTAACGTAGGACGATAGCTAGCTGTCAGCTATCTTAAGCTAGCCCGTGTATACGGAAACGCTGGCGATTTCAGCGATTTGAGATGTGTTGAGAATTCAAAAACTACAAGGAACGGGAGTTAACTTTTGCTCTCGCCCCGAGGATCAGCTGGTAATTCGGCATTAATCCCACAGCAGCGGGCGAAGGAATGATTAGCCTGAAACGCCTTTCCGCCCACTGTGTAACTTCGGATCGGGGAAGCGACATATTATGCGTCCTAACCAATATTATTGTGCCATCTCTTATAGTTTCCAGTGTTGAACAAACGCCGAATTTGTCGGTCGAAACGTTATCAACATAACAGTTGAGAATTGGCTCGGTAAGATTAGGTTCCCAAGCCGTGTCACGCGTAGTGTCCGTTATCAAGATATTCTGAAGGGGGGTTTGGCGTGACGTTTTCTTGAATAGGCGACAAAGGAGAAGGCGAAGCGACTCTGCGTCGTTACTTGTGATGTTGGGATTTTGTTTTTAAGTTGACACTTTATGTTTTACTACTAATTAGACGTCAAATAGAGTAACTCGATGTGTTGCGTGTGTGGGATTGAATGTGTTCAATCACATTGTGGCTCTGATTGAAGAGCGTGAGCTTTAACCACGTTAACCGAGTTATTGTTGACTGACTGGCTTCCACTTGTCTTTGCCAGACTGCTCATTGAACTCAGTCACACTTGCCAGATCCCATCATGGATGTCACTTACGTGCTACTACTGAGCAGTCTTGGCCTTGCTCAAGGTGAGTGGGATAACCTTTTTTTATAATATACAATTTGTGTGGTCACAAGCTGGTGTTGAGGCTTGCGTTCTCTCGTCCTCGGGTCTAGTTTTAATCTCTGACTCTTTTTTTATTTTTAGTTATAGCTCAAGACTGCCTTATACCAGTAGGCGGAAACAACATGGGATTTAAGGATGATCTTCCACAAACGTTCCCAAATGGGACCAAAGTTTCCTTTGAATGTAATGTTGGCTACAACCCTGCAGGGTCTCCGAGCATTACTTGTACTAATGGCACGTGGAGTCCTGTTAAGCTGACATGCGAGAGTAAATATTAGCCTATTTTTATTCATACATTGAAATTCATAATGGTAATATTTCCGAAAAGGTGTAAACTGGCACCATTCTGTTTTGCTATAAATTTTGCATTAATAGATACATATTTGCTTGTTTCAGGGAAGAGCTGTGGCAGTGCTGGCGAAGTGGAAAATGGAGATCTTAATTATGAAGGGACAGAGTTTGGCGATAGACTAGTGGTGACCTGCAAGACTGGGTTAGTAATAAACTGACTGACCTATGATTGCTAATACTCAAAAACCTGTCCAAAGCCAACATACTCTTTATTCCCTATTTAGTTATATATTGGTAGGCGTTTCACAATTCACCTGCGGAAAGGATGGGTGGCTGGGTGGGAGGTTGCCTGTGTGTGAAGGTTGGTAAACTCTTTGTCTTAATACAGCGCACATGAATAGATGAAAGCTGTCTATTTGCATTCTAATAAATGTCACTTTTATTTTGCAGCGGTGGCGTGTGATGCACCACCAATGCTGACGAATGGCGACTTTAGTCCAGTCAGTGATTCTTATAACTACCCAGAAGTTGTACTGTACAAATGTCAAAAAGATTACACAATGAATGGATCGAGCTCATCATCATGTTCAAAGGATGGAACATTTAAACCTGCTCCACCAACATGTATCAGTAAGTGTTTAACACCCCCCCCCCCCCCTCCCTCCAAAGCCTCTAACATTTCCCCCATTGTAAAATCCCCTCCTACAGATGAACTCTCATACCATGTTGGAAGTTGTTTTGGGGTAAATATTGATTTCTTTTTGAAACCCTCTTTTCCTGCAGGGGTTCAATGCAAAGATCCCGATGTAACAAATGGTGAATGGATGTCGGGTGCTCGGCCCCCTTACAAATACAAGTCTGCAGTGACTCTCCAGTGCATACCTGGATATAATATGAACGGAGCCCAAACCCAAAGATGTGAACTAAACAGTCAGTGGGCACCTGGACTTCCAACATGTGAACGTAAGTCACAGGGCACAGCTTTGTTCAACTCTGTCAAAACAAGTCAAGCCAGGCGAAATAGCCCTCCACGAAAACATGACCCGATGGGTAGTTTTTATGAGTATGTTGTGGTCTTAGAGTCTGTATTGCCATTGTTTTTAATTTACTTCAGTGTGAACCCTATAATGTGGTCATATGTGGAGCACTCGCCTAGTGAGCTGAGTAAGGCGTTACCAGGTATTTCAATGCAGTCCTTTGCATATGAGACCGCGGAAAAATAGGTGGGTTGAGAATGTAGAACAAGCAATGGATGGAAGGATGGATTGGTTCCAATTAGTTGGTAATCGCTGAGGTATCTTCAGTTCATATTTTGTTTTACAAGAAGGAAAGGTGTTTAAATGCACGCCCAATGTGCCCAGAAAAGTGATATAAAAGTTTAAAAATGGCGTTTCTCGTTTCTTCTTGAATCGAGAACAAATAGGTAGTTTAATTTGATTTATTTATTTATTTTCCTCCCAACCTTTTCTTAAATTGTATGTAGTTTATATTCAGCTGAGACATAAACATGCACGATAAAGGGTAACTATATTAATTTACATTAAAAGCCTCCTTTGCCTGCAGCGGTGCTATGCGAAGATCCCGATGTAAAAAATGCTGCCAAGGAGGAGGGTTCCAAGCCTCCTTACAAAGTCAAGTCTACGGTGACTTTTAGTTGCGTATCTGGATATACTATGACAGGAACTCGCACCCAAACATGTGGACTAAATGGTCAGTGGGCGCCTGGACTTCCAACGTGTGAACGTAAGTCAGAAATGAAAGCTACTGCTTCGTTTAGGTCGTCAAAGAACAAGTCAACCTGTTATATTTGACCATTGATGAAGACTGTTTTATACAAACCCAAATGCCATTACTTTCTGTAAAGCCATCAGCTTAGTCACATGATGTTCTATATACTCCGCGGCTCTGAGAGCACTAGCCATCGGCTCCTCTTAGCTAGACGTCCAATCGCAGTCGGGGAAGGGAGCATAAACTAGCCCCCCCCGCCAAAACATGACCCGATGTGGTGTTTTTATGAGTATGTTGCGGTCTTAGAGTCTGTATTGCCATTGTTTTAATTTACTTCAGCGTGAACTCTGTCATATGTGAAGCACTCGCCTAGTGAGCTGAGTAAGGCGTTACCAGGTATTTCAATGCAGTCCTTCGCATCTGATGAGACCGCGGAAAAATAGGTGGGTTGAGAATGTGGGCAACTATATTAATTTACATTAAAAGCCTCCTTTGCCTGCAGCGGTGCTATGCGAAGATCCCGATGTAAAAAATGCTGCCAAGGAGGAGGGTTCCAAGCTTCCTTACAAAGTCAAGTCTACGGTGACTTTTAGTTGCGTATCTGGATATACTATGACAGGAACTCGCACCCAAACATGTGGACTAAATGGTCAGTGGGCGCCTGGACTTCCAACGTGTGAACGTAAGTCATAAATGAAAGCTACTGCTTCGTTTAGGTCGTCAAAAAACAAGTCAGCCTGTCAGCCTAAAGCAACAGTTCTGACCAACACTGGGGAAATCCGCTGATTCACCACATAAAATTCCCTTCGGGGCCCGACTTGATTGTCACTGTTAACCCAGTTGTCTAATTATTAAATTGATCGATTTTTGTATTCTGTAATATTAAATAAGTGCACGTATGACCAGAGGTGTCATGTAAAATCAATACAATGGTATTTGTAATTTCTTCAAAAACATTCTGCGTTAATGGAATAAGAGGTACCTGAAATGTTGACGGAGCTGTTCCTACACCGTTCTGTTTTTGCAGTAACGACAACCACCAAACGTCCCACTACCACCAAGAAAACCATAGGTAAAGTTCATGCTTAAAATCCAGTTAATGGTCCAACAGAATTCTTGATCAAATGTTGCATTTGGTTTGTGCCCAAAAAGACAAAAGCTGATTAATCTGATCGGATCATGCTGAGCTAAAAAACAAACAAAAGTCCAATCATCCTTTCCTCCTGTAACACTTCATATGACTGGCGTATTGTTCCATCCATCCATCCATCTGTGGGGATTAGGCGTAGTAAAAATAAAACGTGATTTTTTTTGTGCCCAATAATTAACTTGCTTGCTATCTAGCTGGTGGGACACTACGGCACCCTCCTCAAAACATTGCAAGGCTCTATTGGATGTGTCCACCTAAGACGCAGTAGATGGACGTGATGGTTTCTTAACGCTTTGACGGTACATTTGTTTCAGATGACTCTGGGACGGTTGATCCTCCTGGTAAGGATTCGTTTGTTTACCCATTCGAGATCAGCATTGTACCCAAATCACGGTGTGACGCAATCGTGCCCTTATTCATTGTTTTGTTTTTTGTTTTTTGTTAACAGAAAACAAAGGAAATGGGATGGCTATAGGGTTGGGTCTCGGTTTGACCGGTAAGTTTCAACTTTATCTATTTGATCTACTGTTCAATTATAATGTTGACCCAAATAAGGTCTACGGTATGAATACTGCACATTACAGTAGCTGAATGTAGATTTCTAGAGAGTATAATGTTATTAACAAGGGGACTCTTTTGCAGTAGTTTGTTCTGTACTTAATGCCTGTGTTTCTGTGAACGGTGGATATCATGTTTTCATTTTTGAAGTGGTTTCCTAACAAATGAGCAGAAGTGTTTTATTTCATTTAAAAAAAAAGCCTTTTTGTGATTATTTTAATGGAACCACATTTGTCGTTCTCATTGCCCATCATAATCAAACCACCCTCCGCTTTTGTCTCATCGAAAGTCCTCATTGGTAGTGTCCTCACTGTCTTGGGATGCTATTTCTGTGGAGTTCCGGCATGCATCAAAGAGAAAAAACGGTAAAATGTTGTGACTTCTTCTCTTTACATCTCAGACCATTTACTAATGGCGCCTGATGTCGGTCAACTCTTTCCTAACCTCCTTATATCGTGGCGTTTGGTCAGTACTTTCTTACTGACTCTGTCAGCTGTTGCATGTTGAAGTTGGGTGCATTGTAAGTTTTTATTTATTTATTTATTTTTAAATTTTGGTTATTGCTCTACTGCACAGTGCCAATGATCATGTCATTTAGACTGGTATACAAACGAGATGTTCCACACACACCTTCTAAACGGCATACGCAACAAATGTAGTATGCCAGTTGTCTTCCTTTGCTAATTGAGGCTGGGAATGCAGAAGGCCCCTTAACAGCTGATCTTAGAATCCACCAAAGCACTGTGCGGTTTACGTATGATTTCTAATTTCCATTCTTTTATAAATTGGCAAAACAGGGAAGTAGTGGTGGCTGGTGTGTGCCAGTTATGGAAATGTTTCTGAGCAAACTGTTTGCTTGTCTCCTGTTGGGGTGGTGCCTAATGCCTGATGGCTGTTTATGAGGGTGTCCTCAGAAGGTCCGACTGATTAAATCAAGTCACACCTCTGCGTTTGGAGGTCTGAAACTCGTATCAAAGCTCCACTACTCGGGCCCTGAAGGCCACTGAAGGGGACTTTGACTATGAACTTTGGATCATCCTTATGGCCATATTATTAAATAATGACAACGGCGCAGTTGTTGAATTGTGAACAGTGTTTCAATCATTTGTTTCGTTAAATAGTTATTTAAAATGTAAGGAAATCAGGCCATGACGGGGTCACACCCTCAGAAATATTGCTATTCCGGCTGTAGGGGGCAGATGGCTTGTGTGTGTGTGTGTGTGTGTGTGTGTGTGTGTGTGTGTGTGTGTGTGTGTGTGTGTGTGAGATCCTAGATGATGTGTGGGGGTGAAGAAGGCATTTCTCTGGGCTTCCTAAAACTCGTTTGCCTTTTGTGTGGCTGGCTGTTCATAACCAGTAACGCTGATCGGTCATTATTGGATTACAGCTCTCGGAGAGGCTTTCCTGTCAATGCCGCTCCGTCAGCGGATGAGGAGGTAGCGCTCTCGGTAAGATGTGCCGCCCGGTACACTTAAGACCCATTTATGCCAAAGGAACAGATATGATGGCTAGTATGTGGGTTTTTTTCCCCCAAGCTGTGTGTCCATAATAAATGACTAATCTTTCCTTCCTTCATGGGCTACTAACAGACCTGCTGCGCCACTGCCTGCGTCGTTTCTCTTCCAAAAGGCTCAAGGGATTTTTTTTACAATGTGTCTAAAAATGTTTGTCTCTTTCTTTTCCCCTGCAGTAAGCGTCCTGTTGGTCCAGCATTACTGGCTGTAAAAATGTCCGGCTGAGAAGACGCCACAATTCAAGTCACTGAATGTACTTTGCCGGCCGCTTGCAGCGGTCTCACTTAAATCACTTCAGCCACGTTTAGGATCCCTTTCCAACAGTTGCAGTTTTAATTCAGCCGTTTTGGAACGGTATTCCATGTTCGCTAGAGGGGCTCGGACTCTTGAAGTTGATTTCAAATGTTTGCACTGCTCAGAGCTCAGAGCTCAGCTCAGCCTGGTCAATTTAGCTTACGACCTTAAACAAGCGTTATCGGTGAAGAATGTTTCCATGCTTGACCTCTTTTCTTCCAAATACTCCTGTGGTGATACAAATTATTTGAGTTAAACTTAGAACGCACTTGATTTGCCTGGAATTATTTATTATAATAAAAGGATTGGCCGAGGCCTGTGTCATGTAGATTCTAGTCTACAGGAATGTACTTCCTTGAGATATTGTACAAATCAGTCGTACAAAACCTGCGTGGCTCATAAACATGTTCTATATGCCTTTAAAGAACAAATCAAGTGTTTTAGCTTGTCTGGAGTTACTTTAGCTTCATGTGTATGATAAATCATTGTTTAATGTCACCTTTTGCACGTGTGTGTGTGTGTGTGTGTGTGTGTGTGTGTGTGTGTGTGTGTGTGTGTGTGTGTGTGTAGCAAACTTCCCCAACTATTTTATTAATTCGTCTTTACACCCCCCCCCCCCCCCCCCAAAAAAAAAGTACACATAAGAAGCATTGAGTACAGTACGACTTTCTTTGGTGATGGTCTTTATTTGACAGATGTTTAAGAACATCTCGTGACATTTTTGTATTCTGCGGCAGGATTTGATGCCAGAGCTACTTTTTTGTAATTAATGAAATAAAATGAACAGTTTTTCCTTTTAAACCATAATTGTTTTATTCACCTTAGGCTCGATGTGGCCAAACATTGGGAACCATTTCAAACATCTACCGAAAGCAGAGCTTAATCTTTGACCCTGGTTTAGGGGATCTATTCACTTTAAAACCAATACAACATCACAGCGAGAAGCTTTCCGCCTAATATGAGCAATATAAAAACTACGCTCCATCACCTCTGAGCAAGAGGTGCCGTGGTGGCCTGAATGACCTGAGACATGTCCCAGGGCTTGGACATCTCAAGCGATTTGTCAGAATATGAATCCGAAATGGTTTATTGCCATGTTTGCACATGGTGAAAATGTACAAAAGAATGACAAATGAGCGTTGAAATGGAAAGTCTTGATATTCTGAACATGACTGAACCAACTGGGTCTAAATGAATAGATTCCGCTCATCTACGCTACAGTGCCACCCTGTGGATTAATACAAGAACATGTTTTTAATAAATGTTTTATATTTCATTTGTAAAGAGCACAGCCTACCTGCAAAGTCGTTTTACAGGGTGAATAATACAAAGAAGAGAAGCACACTCCAGTAAAACGTAGAGACCAGACAAAGAGCTGCACACCTCTTCACACTGCAGATGTCTTATTGCTGGCCAGGGAGACACTTCCCACCCCGAGAACACTGATTTCAAATGGTGCTAGAAAGATGCCAACACTCTAAGCCACCATCTGAAACCAGCTTCCAAGGGGGGCCCTTCTGACCTGAAGCATCCTTCTGTGGGTCCAGCTCAGACCAACGTCTAGCATTGGTTAGGTGGCTGTATTTATTGAACAAAAAAAAAGTACATTGAGGCCGACTATTTTCTTCTTTGCGTCTGTAATCAATAACAGCAGAAATATAATGAAAGACGAACAGACATTGTAATGTAATGGTGTAAATTGACTGCATATCTAATTGGAAGACGTTTTGTCAAATAGGAGTCAGAGGTGTGAACCTGCAATAAGTGAATAACCCGAACCACACGTGTTCACAAAATGCCAGTAATGTACATACAACATATTTACGGAAGCTCTGCTTACCTCACCTGAGGTGATCGATCGAATCCCCTATTTGCTTTCAAAACACACACACACACACACACACACGCGCTTCATGCTGAAAATCAAACTCTGCTTGAAAGGGCGGCGCAGTGTTCGGTGCTGCTGCTGGATGACTCTCTCCGGGATCCACCTGTCCGTCCTCAATGAGGGATGGGACCCAAGTCCTCTAATCAATACGCTAAACCACAGCGCCACCTTCAGGATTTGGCCAGAAAATGATTCAAATGACGACATGTTCAAGTAGGCTTACACGAGATACTTAAATTCACCTTTGGAAATATTGAGCAAATATTCACAAGAAGCACATTTACAGATAAGTATAGCAACTTTTACTTCTGTAAAGGATCAGAATACTTCATCCTCCACTGCAAACGTAAATCTAGATGTCATTCATTGTGTTTCATTTGTAACTCCAATCGACCTACAGTCCGTGAAAATGAAGAGACGAGATCTGTCCTTCACTGTAACCGATTTCAAATGGTGCTAGAAACAAAAGCAGACTCTGAACACCAAAAGTAATCGGTCAACTTTGGAGAAAGGACGGAGAACTTGTCAGAACGTCACTTGTGGAGCAGTGCTTCACCTCAGGAGACGCTTCCTGTTGCTGGCCAGGGAGACACACTTCCCACCCCAAGAACACTGATTTCAAATGGTGCTAGATAGATGCCAACACTCTAAGCCACCATCTGAAACCAGCTTCCAAGGGGGGCACGTCTGACAAAAAAGCCCTCCCTCTGTGGCACAAAACGGCACTCAAATCTAAAGGAAAGGGAAAAAGGAAGACAGGCATTAATAAACGCAGAAAGTAGTGGGAAACAATCGGCTTGACCCACGAAACAAAGTCATTCAAACTGTCTGCTGACCCAATCAGACCAATTGAAACAGGTTTGTTTGAGCTTCCACAACGATGCAGCAGCGGGCACACGCGTAGTTGCATGGCTGCAGAAGGTACATCTCAAAAGTTTGGAAATGAGTTGTGTGCTTTGTGTCGATTCTTTTCTTTTTTTCCGACAGGGAAGCGAAAACGTTGACGCCACCACACTCGATTAGAGTCGAGCTGACCTTTAACCTCAGAGAGCACAGGGCCGGTGGATCTGAGGCCGCCTCAGCGGGCTGGTCAGTTTATTGTCGGGTGGCAAACAAACAACGGCCTCCAGAATAAGTCTCGCTCTTTCTGGAGGCCTTAGAATTTGCAAGTTGAACAATTTGTTTATTTTTAAACACTGTTTTATGAGACTCCATTACGCTAATGGTTTAGTGACGGGCTTAGAAAGCTTTACATTTTGTCCCCCTCTACCTTGATTTGGACGGAAGTCTATCGCCATCGTGGGAAACCTGCTGAGACGCAATGCATGCTGGGATGGTTTAGGCCCAGGCCATTGCCCGGAAAGAAGTTGGATTCAGGGCCCTGGTTGAGGACAGAAAGCACGGAGGAGGACAGCCGATGAAGGGAGAGTGAACTATGGAGGAAATAGAAAACCACCGAGGCACCTCTCTCCCAAACACACACACACACGACCGATCTGATACTTGATCCAACCTCCACGGATGTGCGAACGGCAAAAACGAGAGCACACAAACGCACAAACACCTGCAACACCGTCACGTCTTTCACGCTCACCTGCAGCTCTGTGGACACAGATATGGAGGAGTCCTCGTCCCTCCCCTTCCTCGGCGAAACGCAGAAGATTAACAGCGTTTTCTCGCGCCCCCTACAAGGGGGGGTGGGGGGGGGGAAAGCAAGGAAGTGGCAGTGAATCACCTGCAACGAGAGCCATGACGCATGAGAGGGCGGGGCGAGGACAGGTAGCGGCCAGCTCGCCGACTTGTTGCCAAGTGTTTCAACGAAGCGTACACCTCCTTTCCCCCGTACTGCTGTACACTGTGGAATAAAGGACCAGTCCCCCCCCCACTTAGCAATTTACGTTGGTTGTACAGCCATATTATTGCGAGACCTGTTTGTGCGTTAGGGTGTGCGCGATACACCGGGTCCGTCTTTGGGTGTCTGGTTCCGGGCTGGCTTAACCCAACCCTGTCAGTTTCCTTTTTTTGGGGGGTTGTTTGTTGCACTGGACCTGTTGTGTAATGCTTATAAAAGATTTAAAGGGCCACCAACAGAATCGGGATTGAACTGTGTAGCACCCTGCGAAACCCTCTAGGGGTCCACAGCGCTCCTTATTTACAGACAGATATATAAAATATAGAAGCAACAGTAAATTGCTGAGGAAGCAAACTGCTGTGAGACAACACACCATGTTTACAGCCGTCATGCTCAACACATCTAGAAAATGCACAACATGAATCAACTTTCATGAAGCTGGAATATTTCTATCGCTGATGCTTCATGTATGGAGCCTGGTACACTAACCAACCCCCATAGTGGTGCAGTGGAAAGCAGCTCCAGCGCTGATACTAAGAATCATCTTCTTTACGACCGGCTTATAAAAAATAAAATTAAGATAGGTGAAAAAAAGAGGCAGCAATAGTACAGTATGTTATCACATCAGCACATTCAGAGGAGAGGGAGCGAGAGAGACGCTGGGGGCTGCAATGCAGCCACACGCACACAGCATCAGCTTAGAAAGGTTTTGGATGTTGGACTTCTTGTAAGGAGAACGAGAGCATCTCTCTTGTCGAGGGATTTTTAAATCGCTCCTCGTCACAGCTACCAGCGAGCGTCACTTATTAAGGCTACACAGACAATACTGATGGGAAAATGATGAGTATCCCAGGCTCTATGCAGGCAATTAATATTTTAGCTACTATCTCTTAAGAGAACTATGTGAACTTACTAAATCGAAATGCCCTTATGTTGTTTTCCTCTTGGAATGGGATGGAAAATTAGGGGAAGCGACAGTTCCTGTAAGACCGAGGTCTGAGACGGGCCCAATGCATCACAAGAGGCAGCAGGCCTGGATAGAAATGTCTGCATCAGCTTGTGTTTTTCTGGATGCCTGTGGGATCATGATGATGTTATTTGATCCCATAGCCACTTGACAGCTGAGCCAAATGTTGACAACTGATTTAAACTGCTCTGTGTGAGCTCCTGACATCACTCATTAGCTTCCCAAACTCGTCTGGGAAACTAATGCCACAATCTAAGAATAACCCCCTGGTTAATCTGTTTTTATTATCATTAAATATACTTTAACAGCTCAACACTTATAAAACAGACGTGGCACTCATGTATCCATGGAAAAGTGTTCCTGCAACCACAACGTCATCGTATGACGGAACAGTGCGTTTTAACCAATCAGATGTTCGAACCTCAGCCGCCCGCTCGCAATAAGCCATTAAAGTATTTGCTGTGCAGCTCGCGGAGCTCCTCCCACCCAATGAGAATCCAGCTTTGGCACGATAGCGGCCTGTGATGCAGCAGCTCCAGGAAGTGCAGCGCATGTGAACTGGATGGAAGCCAAAGCGGAGCCACCAAGAGAGAGCAGAGTAAACAAGTTCTCTCTCTCTCTCTCTCTCTCTCTCTCTCTCTCTCTCTCTCTCTCTCTCTCTCTCTCTCTCTCTCTCTCTCTCTCTCTCTCTCTCTCTCTCTCTCTCTCTCTCTCTCTCTCTCTCTCTCTCTCTCTCTCTCTCCCCCATCTCTCTGATCCTGAGCCGTGACGTTTAGCCCCCTTCTCTGGCTCGGTACCAGCGGTGTACTGGCTGAAGAGACGTCCAGCCCCCGAAGAAAAAAAAAGAAAAAAAAAGACTGCGTCACCATCTCCGTCCCTCCCAACTACGCAGAAACAAATGTATTGACAATGGTTTTGCCAAATCCCAGTGGCCCTGGAGTGGGGAGGTGACGGGGACGGGGGGGGGCGAGAGGGTGTTGGTGCCACTAAACACAGACACCGAGCTGATCCGTTGTCAGCTTACAGCTGGATCCCAATCGGTCTCTGAGCATGGAGAAGCAGGCATGTATGGAGGCACTCTTTTCCTTTAACAGCAGTCAACAGTGTGAGCAGACACACACACACGCAGTGACGTAAATGCGGTTACCCTTTTGGCCGAAGTCAAAGCACCAACTTATCCTGTTGTTATATCCTGTTAAAGGCTACCGTAATGTCCGCCCGGCTGCATCTGCGCACACCCCCGTCAAATGGTGTATTAGACGTCGAATACGGTTTCATAATGATAGGTCAGACGGCACGATGCACGATTGTATTCACCAATGGAATCATTCGTATTCCTTAAGGTGATGTAAAGAAGAAATGTTTGAATGCCTCTAATCAGTCTCAGCAAAACATTCCACACCGAGCTGCGTTGTGATATTGAGAACCCTCCAGAATATTCTTATGTTAACCCCTTTGTCGCACCTCTGCCCACCCAGACCACACACACACACACGCACGCGCACACATCTTACCAAGACCTAGAGAAACTGTGTCACATCTTCAGCATCCATGTTGAAACTCCCGATACCACCTCAAAGAACCTAGAAAAAACAACAGACAAACACACACACCGCGCACACACACATGCACACACCCAGACGGGCAGATGAAAACAAAACTAGGAAGGAGGAAGAGGAGGAGGAAGTCGAGGTTGTCCGAAACCACTGTGGCGATTTCGGTTGAAAAAAGAAAACTCGATGACTGTGGGCTCCTCGGTTATCTCAGCTTCCGTTTCTCCTGACATGAAAAAGTGACGTAGCAACTAATCCAAAATCTCTCTCTGCCTCTCTCTTTACCGCTCTCTGTCTCTCTCCCCGTCTCGCTCTCTCTCTCCCTCCCTCCCTCTCTGCTGTCCTCTCAAACACACGCACTCTCCATTTTTCATCTTGTTGCAACAGAACTGCCTTTAGTCTGCTACTAGAAGCTAACACACACACACACACAAAGCAGAACCCGCACAAATGCATGTGTATGTGCGCATGTCTGCATGTACACGCACACACACACACGCAGGCTATTCCTCGTCCACCGACTGTGACGCAGCACTTAATTCTCTGTGCTTTCGCACCACGGTTGTGGCTCTCACGACGACAACTTCTTCACCAAGATGGAACACACAGGAGCTAGCTAGCCCGCACGCACGGCAAGTGAGCATGAGCAGACTGCAGGTAAAAAGGGACCCTACCACCGTGGCTTCCTGTCCCCAACTGTGTGACGCTGCTGTGTCCCCATTTGCCCCCCACCCCCTGTCCCCTTGTATTTGGGTCCCTCCCCCCCCTCACTCTCTGGCGCACTCCTCTCGGCTAGAGACGCACTGGCTCGTCTGCCCGTGAGGCTGAGCTGACGGAGCCTCCTCGATCACCTGACAGCCAACTGCTTTTAAAGGCACATCGCCCCGGTGGATCGGTTGCATAAGCACCACCGGGCGGCGTTCTAATGAGGGATGCCACTTGTCTCGCCGTCCGCAACAAGGGCGATAAGCACGAGGTGCTCCGTTTAGGTCCTAACGTGACGCTTTCCTAATGCCCACATGTAGGTTGGCAGTTTTACCACGAAGAGGCCTACCGCAAATGTACTTCCTCTTTCCGTTCGTGGTGCTTCGCGCTGTAGCTCTGCTCAAAAGAATGCCGCTTGATCCCGTTTCTGTTCCAAATAATACATCCAGTTAACCCAATAATGAATCTTGTGGAATGACAAGAAGATTAAAAGAAGACATTTGTTCTACCTAGTGTGTTGTATTGAAGGTTCACCAGGAATGTAGCGGTTCCTTTAAAAAAAGAAGACTGTCTTATAAATAGTCTGGTTTGGTTCAGTCAAACATTGGCAGAGTGTATTTTAAGACCTGGAGTCTTTGCTTCTTATCTGATTGTCCACATACCCTGATTGGATGATGCATCATGTGTCATGTAAATCCGGCTGAAGGGGCTGTGGGGAGATGGGAGGAAAACACCTTTTCTGTTCCTGAGTTAGCAAAAAGGTAAACAAAGTTAGTGATGACTCACCAACACATCTAGATCTTCATCTGGCTTTTCAAATGGCTGTAAATGTTCTTCCTTCTAGCACCTGAAACGTGTTATGTTCTACTTCCCCACTGGAGCCCACGGCTTCATTTCACAGGACTGAGGAGAAAGGAGAGCATCGGCAAAAGAATCAGCTTTCACCCTTGAGCTATATGGGAAATGTAAGTGATCCGAGGGATCAAGGCATGTTTTCTCTGAGCCGACTGGTAGATTGCAGAGTGCATTGATCCGAGGATTGAGATCTACAGCGTGTACCTATAGTTTACAGCTTGGTGGTGGGAGGGGGGATCCTGCACCCCGTATAAAATAACTGACCGGTCTCTTATACTGTCGTGTGCCTGCAGGGGTTCAACTATATCAATACCAAAGTTCAACTTCGGTATTATTGTGTGTTTGCTGACGCTGTAGCTTTACAGACACATTGAAGTACTGGTCCTTCCTGTCTGCTGCTTATGCTTCTCAACCAGTGGGCAGTGTGTTCATTTTAGCCATGTCATCTATCAGCCGTGCCTGTTCCACTTCCTATACCATTATCTCTCCCTCGGAAAGGTGCCTTGTCAAATCCATTGATATTACTTGTGGCTGCATTGGGAACAATAGACGTAGCTCCTAAATGCACCTTCACATAGATTCATTAAAAAAAAAAAGTTATGTTTTTTTTGTGTTTTATTGAAAGTAAACAGTGTAATATTTTGCTTTTTATTACCTTGTTTCCAGTAAGCCCTCAGAAGACTGCGGATGGGTCGGCACGTGTTCCAGCACTGCATGACAAAAAAGAAGAGCTTCATCCCCGTCAGGTCCTGAGGATATCACAGGCGTTATTTCATGACAAACATATTACAGTGATTCAAATGTTTCCTTTAGGCTTCAGATTAGTAGTTTCTGGCATCACAGTGCTGTATGGAGTCAGATAAATTAAATGTGTTCAGATTTAAATGTGACATTTTCATGTTCCCTCTGTCGGGTTGCATTAATAAAGACTTTCCAATAACTTCATGCACGGTAAAAGATCCAAGCCTTAAGAAATACTCCCCCCCTGTGATGGGTAGCGGTGTTGCATGTTGGAGGGTTTGTTTACATCAGGAATAAAAAGTGCGTATGACATAGAAACCTCTGGATGGATGGAGCCGAGTCCAGGTATCGGCCCATGAAGCACACGCACTTAAGCTTTACAAACTGTACAAAACAGGGGGAAGAAAAATCAACCAGAGCGGATTTTCTTTAAACTAAGCTATTTGAAGGCAATCTATTTCTGACAATGCACGATGGGAAAAACAATCTCAGATGATTTTAACTTTAGGTCCATAGCCAACAAAATACTGTTGAATTAAGTCCTTACTTATTTTACATTTCTTCACTAATGTTACGGTTTGAATACAGTATGCTTGGCTGGGAAGGGTATTAACCAGATACAGCATGACGCACTCTGAAAGATGCAATAGTGACACAATCATTTAAATTTCTTGAAAAGGTAACAACAACAAAAAATGTTTCCTTACAAATGCTTCCTTTTTTTAAAAACTGAATACTAGTTAAAACGAATTTCCCTCCCTCTACAACGTATTCTACGAACTTATACTGCAACTTACAATGTTAACCTTCAAAGGGATATAACAAGTTTAATAAACTGCATTCAAATATACAATCAAATCAAATAATAGACAAGACAACAGCTACAACATAAGCGAAATGATTGCGCAGTTCTGCGTGGATGTAGAGACCACTCACTCCTGAGGTAAATTGAAGTGCGCAACATCCTCCTGCAGGAACACCTCTCCATCCCACCCTCCTCCGCTGCCCCGGCGCTGGGAAATCAGGCATAAATCAGCTCAGTCATGTTTTATAAGGAAACAGCTGTGATCAAATATCCTGCTTATTTCCGGATGACGTCGGAAACAACGCTGGGAATTGCGCACTAGCCTAGATCGCGACAATAAAGTAAAAAAAAAAAAAAAACAATTATCGATGTCCTTAAATAAAATAAAAAAAGAACAAAACAACCTTGTAATAGTTTTAAACAAAATAATAATTAAATCAGCCGAGTCCCTAAAAACAACCGACCGACCACCCTTGTAACCTGTATCCATATAAATGACGTTAGACTGTATTTCAAGTACACTTGGAAGTAAAACAGTGTCTCTCGGCAGGGTCGACGGCCTACCGCGTCTTTCGCAACACGTCCGGTCTCTTTGCCACCTCGTCACCGCTGCCATTACCTCCCACCGAGCCACCAGTTATTATGAAATCCACCGTGCTGCCTCGCTTTAATGGAAAAAACAAAAACCCTGTCCATCGACATTTTCACAGCAACACAGACAGGCCACGCCCAACCACACACACCCCCGTGTTCTGATTGGCCGCTGCTCCAAAAGCCGTCAGCGGGGTCACGTGCCTTTTGACGCAAGTTTACAAACGGGCACAGAAAAGGCAGGCGGAGCGGTCCCTTTAAAGCAGCCACGGTGAAGAGTGCGGGTGGAACAAGACGGTGCACTGCTCGCTACTTCCGCTTTAGCTTGGATTTTCCTGTTTTGCCTCTCAAACAACGTAAACATGTTGTATAACTGACGAAAACACATTAAGTCAATGTACAAGATTAAGCGATGATTACTTAAAGATGATTACTGAATTTTGCACATTTTGAGGTGTGCTCCTAGTAATCGATCTAGCCAATAATAGCTTGTTTTCCAGGGTAGATTACTTTAACCTTTGATTCACCTTGAAGATCAGCAAAGATGACTGGAGCAGATTTAGTGAGCTCAAGTCATTTTCTGCATCCCATGAATTTACTTCATATATGGTTGTTTTTCTTGAGTTGTAAAGTGCTGGGTTAAAAATAATTATTCTGTACATATTGTACAGTCTAAAAAATCTGACTGATTACTCTCTTACCAGTGGTAAGTATCTTTGATGTCAAATTTTCCAAAACAAATATACACTTAAAGAAAAATGAATGAATATTTTCTTTTGAACATCCCCATATACTAAAAAAAACTATGTCCCCTGTGTCCTAACAAAGTTAAGAAAACAATTGAGAGACTCATTTAAACACATTTTATTTGAACATTTGCATCTATTTGGCACCTTTCTTAAATGTTAAGCTTCACTAGGAGCCTAGTTTGATCAAATGTGATTGATAGTACCGCCTGTCAAGGTAAGCAAAGAACCTCACAATTGTCAACCTTCATTTGATCAAAGTTTAGCTTAATTGAATAAAATAGCTTTAGTGATGAAATGTTCTCACTTCAAAGCAGCAATAAAAGCCATGAGGAAACCATAGCCACATAAATTAGATCTCTACAACAATATTTAAAAAGTTAGAATTGGGTATGCTTTTTTTTACTTTATCATGTGTAGTTTGCCGCAGCAGGGGGCATCCTAACCCAACAATCAAACTTCACTTTCACAGTCTGTACATTTCAAACAAGCCTTTCCATTTTAGTATCCAAAGCCCTATGTGACACCTTTTTAATAAGACTGATAGACTTGATTAAAAGTCATGTTTAATGTGCAATCTGTCAGCATTACTTTAAATCGGCTTTAGTATGCAATCATCTGCACGGTCAACAGTTCACAACAGGGTGGGGTGCGTCTTTTGGGGATGGTTGCATCACTGGAAAAAAGAGACAATGTATTCCAGACAGTTTCCCTAAACAGATGTTGGGAATAGACGACAAAAACAACAGCACCGAGAAATGTGCTGGATAGCAATTTAGGTTTCCGAGGTCGTCACTAAAAAGGCGTCTATGGAAACAAAACAAAAAAATTTGAGCTCCTAAATTTCCATAATTTCTATATTAGTATATTAATTTATTTCAGAACGCAGTCCCGTTTCTTCTATTTAACAGGGATTTTAGTAAGTTTACAAACTTGTGAGGGGCGCTATATTGCAAGGGACTCCTCAGACGACATGAACAAACAACAACAATATAAAGTAGGCCTATTGCCTCGTAAACACAAGTAGAACCTGTAGTTTATTAGCAATGCACACACATTTTGTAGTGACTTTTTAAATCAAGGCTAAAAAGTGTCATTACAAAAGCATTGCATTATAAGCTTACAGGCCAAACACAGCAGGCTGATGGGTCAGTTACAAGTAGGATGTATGGTCGCTGCCTCGTGCACATTAGTCAGTGGGGCCCCATGTTCGTGTTACAGAGGGGCCCCTCCCTTAATCGGGATACCAGCTTTGAAACTGCATTGAACAATTCCCTGGATGCACATCTGTGTTGAAAGTATGTGGAAGTATTTTCTGTTTCTCTTGTCACACACTATGGATTCTGAGAGAATATCCGTGTGTGTGTGGCTGGATGTCAAGGTGTCAACAGAAGTTATTTATCAAGGTCAGCTGGATTGCATCAGTCAAATTTCCATAGTGTTATTGGTTGACAAATTGATATTTTCTTAACGTCATACGGGTTCTGTAAATTGATTGCAGGTTAATATAATGTTACGTTGATTTAACACAAGACTATTTCTTATTCCATTCTCTCGCTAGTTTAACGTTATCTCCTCCACAGTAAGAGCATTTACTACCTATATTATTTAATTGTGCGGCAAGTTCCTTTTATGACCAAATCTCAACAAATACACGAAGGTGCTATTTCTTAGATGAAGCTTCATTTAACAGTCTAATAGTGTGTTTTGGTTTCATCCCTGAAAGTGGATGATGTTAGCTCGGCTAACTAGCTAGCTGATGAAAACAGAGTAGCCGTTAGCATTAGCTAGCAGCTAGCCCCGGGTCCGGCACATACGTTAAGATGTGTAACCATCGGCAGTGAACCAATAATAGTAACCAAGTTTACTTACACCGCCCAGTGAGGGCTTTCTAACTACCGCGATGAAGACGTATTCCATCCGCAGCACGGCTGAAAAAACAACACGAACCGTCCAATGTTTCTCAAGTTGACGTTAACGTGACTCATCCTGGTCGATGGCCGACCGCCATCTTTGATTTGTCCAAAATCGTGTTACTGCATTAACAGACAGTTGCAAAAAGGAAATACAAAACAGTTAGAATGTTTATATTGTCAAAAAAGTCTAATGGCAACTGTTTGCTCATAGAATCGGCATGTGATATTGATTTTATCACAAGTGTATTGAAAATAGCTATTGTATGTTTAGTTAGTTTCATTATAAAAATAATTGAAAGTTTTTAATCTTCACTTCTATTTGCTTAACCTGGAGGAAGCTATTTCCCCCTTTCTTACATCTTCTGCTATGTTGCTTTGAAAATAATTCAGTATGCCCATAATAATCACTGGATACAATATATTTATATTGGTAAAGAGATCCAATCCTTGGTTACGCGCAATCGAAGAGTCAATGGACTCCTTTTGCCGATTGGCCTCCCTGCATTCCTGTAACCTTTTCATGAACCTGAAAGTTCATCAGCTTTCACTTTTCATCATAGGCCCACCCTGCGGACCCTAACCTCCGAGTCACGTAGCTCGGCCCCTTGTGTGCGGTCCTATACCTCCCACCGGTCCGTTCCGTCCGATATTATCCTCCCACCAATGAATTTATAAGGGCGTGCTTTGGCGTGCAGAGAGAAAGCATGACGTACTTGGCAACTGTAAGTGAACCGAGGGGGGAGCCAACTACACAATAAAACAAGCAACTGAGTATTGCTCATAATGCCAGATGCACATAGTCTTGGCTGGATGGAAGAACGGAGCTGGATGAAGTGAAGGATGGGAGGGGGGCTGGCAGGAGCAGGAGCTGTGTGTGTGTGTGGGGGGGGGGGGCTTGTGTGACATTAAAGAATAGCTGAGGAAGAGGAGATGAAGGGGTACAGGGGCCGATGGGTGGAAAATATAAAGAGTTCATCCGAATTACAGATAAAACATTTGGACAGTTTGATAGAATTGCTTTTATTTTTCCAGGTTCTGCCACAATTCTATTTGAGCTTTCTTAGTAAGTAGTAAAATGTCCACAACAAAGTCTCTCTGTAATATAAATCCCTTCTTGTGAACAGAGAAAGATATGTAGCTTTTTCCAGCAATAAAGTCATTCCAATAATCTCCATTTGGCTATATCATGGCATTAGTGGAAAATCCAGAGATGTTTAACTCAAAAACATGGCCAAATAAAACCATCAGCATCGCAAGACACCATTAGGGATGAGTGGGAATGTTTTTTGTGCGTAATGTGAACCAATGAATCTAAGGATGACAGGCGAGAGCGCATGAGGAAGAGACTCAATATTCTTACATGGCCGTTATCTGTTTTCTTTAATCTGGACACTGATGGTCTTGTTGTTCATCCCAAAGAGTTTAATGTCATACAGAGACCTCCTGTGTGTATGTGTATGTATAATATTTGTAGCATGCAGCAGTTGGCCATGTTTTGTATTTAAGATGTCTTTACTATGGACCTTTTTATTGTGGCTCTGCGGTTGTAGCATATTGTGACATCACGACTGCTCGGTGGCCTGCGGGACATATTTTTCCTGCAGAGTGCGGAGGGGGACGGAGTGGAGGGAGCAACCCACATGGGGCTTGATCCCATGATGAAAGTCACACCGTCACATGCATTAAATGGCGGCAGAAAACGAATTGAAATTATGTGTGTGAACCTCATAATGGATGGTGTGTAGACTCGGGACTGACACGGTGCTCATTAACGTGGCCGGCGTCGTTGACAGAAGACAGCTGGTGGATGTTTTCACTGTCCCACCCAAGCTAGGAGACAAAACAGTGTGAAGTGATGTCATGACTCCTGCTTATGCAAACCAGCTGTGTGACCTTATGGGATGTACAGGATTTAAGGTGTGTGTTAGTTAAACAGTCATTCCCAAAGAATGGGCCGGGACCCGCGGGGAGGTCGAGGGACATTTTATTATGGTCGCAAAATATCAAGCAAAATTTCTTTAATTTATTCAACATTTGTATCTGCTGTACACCTTTGAGCCACATGGAGGAGCCTAAATGTTTGTTTTGCACAGATAACATTGAATCTAATATTAAAGAGCATGATTCATTCTGTTTGTTTCACTGAAATCAGAAAAAAAAGAATATTCTGCTTGAATGTCAATATTTGTTCATGTTTATCAATGTTATCAATCAAGTTTTCAACTACACAAGTTGTAATTCATCAAACATATACCACTTGAGAAATGGATATCTTGTCTATGTCTATCTTAAATCTATCTTAAACATACATTGTTATTCATCTGCATAATCTAATAATGACTGTACAAATAATCAAGAATGCAATATTTATGTACAAATTTGTTCTTCTCGCTATTTATACATTATTGTGTTTTCTTTTTTCTTTTTAAGTTGGTTGAACAAAAACATTTTGCAAACACGAACAGATGTGGTTGCATGTGTATTTTAGTGCATCTGGACACATTTCTGTAGTTAGAAACCCAACACACGCTTTTTCCATTCACTCTTTTTAAATGGAATGAGGCTGAAAACGTTAGTTATTAATCTTTCACTTTTTATTTCCTTCATTGTTGAATCGGATTTGAGGTTGCCTGTCAAAGGAAACAGTCACATTGGAATGTTAGCAAAGAAAAGATACAAAATAGATTGAAAGGAGAAATCAATGCAAAGACTTTCCATTTATGTATCAGAATATCTTTCCTTGCTCATTTCGTTATATGAGCTGGATCAGATGTTATAAAGGCACCAAATAACATACATACATACATACTTTAGCACAACATAATATATGAACTGCACATAGAAATATGTGTTTACAAAATAAAACAAGGAAAGAAATGACACTGTTCAATAGAATACTGATAGTAAAAAGTATATTGAAAATAAAATAACACTATCAAATAGATTGGCAGTTGGGAGTTGAGAGTAAGAGGCTCCGCAATCTGAAGCCTTTAGTAGGAGTCTGATGTCACGCTGATGACGTAATGAGGCCGGTTGGCTTGTGATTGATGATGGATGTGACCACGGTTTGTAGTGAAAGATGGAAGAATTCTTTGCGGCTAACTCTCTCTCAAAAACGTAATGTGATAAAAACGTAAATACTTCTCACCATGTGAATCTGGCTGGGCTAGTTCACAATTGCACACTTTTCATGGCTTTCATGGCTAATGTCACATTGAGGCTCAACATGTTTGAGCACTTTTTATCAACCACTCATCCATACAAACACAAGGTCCCCACGCTTTGTCTAGAGCTCATTTACCTCCAACGTTTTAGGACATTTTCATTGATGATATGGTTTGGCAGACAAGGATGTCACGAGGCACCATGTTGCTTTCTGTGGTAGATTATCCTCATTAACTGCAGCTTATCAATGACTCTTATCTGTTCATAACACCATACCTAAGTCCAATTTAGTAGTAATATAAATATACATGAGCAATGCAGTATTGCAATCAAAAGGTAAACTCATGCAAAGTAAAAAAATACTGTTGGCCACTATTTAGTTAATATTTAGTTAATATTTTCTCAGTTATTTTGACCTCAGCTTTCCATTCGTTGTTATCTAACTCTCAGCCACGCTCAGCACACATTTGAAACAAATGTTCCGTGCTGGAATGGAATCACAAACTTCATCCATTGCAGGCAAACAAACCTCGCAAGCACGTCAGCTCGATCAACTGAACCCAACATGCCAACTGATTTAACATTATTTGGATGTGATCACAGCGTTTCCACTCAATTTCCAACACACTCTTGTTCATAAACTACCATTCAAAAGAATTAGATCCTAAATATAACGCTTTGAGACTGCAATGCTGCCCGTCTGGGCGAGTTCTGATCGTTAGCCTCGTAGTTTAATCTCAGCCAACGCGTGGGAACCCTGACACAGCGAGCAAGGGCAGCGTAGGTCCGTGTATGGATGTACATACAGCCCAGGTGACACATGCACAATTTAAAAGCAGCACATGCAGTCTCACAATCAGTGACTCAATCAGACCAACAAAATAAGAGCCCAATGTATTTTCTCTGTGAGTTTGTAACCGGATTTCATTGCGGTGTGATTTATTCCCTCTCCGGCTGCCGAGGCTTTACAATAAACTAAGGAACAATTTCACTGATGTGCTCATGCTGGCTTTACTCGTGGGTTGGTCGCAGCTTTAGACTTGACAGCACACGTCTGGGACCACAGGCATCATGGAAACCAGTGCTGACTAATGCTTAAATGCACTCTCTTCCCGCCCTGAACTGCCCATTTCCTGTCTCTCTTCTCCGGCCTGAATGCCACAGGGACTTCCAGCCTTCGTCGTCATCAACGTCATTCATCAACGCCATCATCGTCAGGCTAGTTTTTCTCGATCATTTGAGGCATGTGACCAAAAGAGAGGGAGGAAAGGGCACCATTGATGGATGAAATGGTTCTAGTCACTGTAGTTGGGCACGGGATGATTACGAATTGGGGGGGGGTTTGCCATGGCATGTGTGTGTGTGTGTGTGGGTGTGCGTGTGTGTGTTTTGGGGGGAGGGGGAAGGGAGGGGCATTCCTGGGCTACAATTACTTGTAGACCATTTCACATCTCGGTGTCGGCTGTCTTGGTGGCGGAGTGGCCGTTGGTGGGAGGAGGAGGCTGGGTCTTGTCCTCCTCAGGGGCCTCTCCATTTACGCTGGGTTTCTCCAGGGTTTCCGGGAGGGGGTTTAGGGGGGCCACAGATAAGAGAGTGTTCCCCTGGTTGTCCTGCTCCACTACTACTGGACAGGACTCTGCCTGCAAACACAGAACAAATGAAGTCATTGTGGGAAGGATAGATGCAACACCACGTGGGAGTCAGGGTACTTATTGCCCGAGTGCAGAAGAAGTGAACCAGCTAAATAAATGGCCGTGCATCGTTTCACTAAATTAAAAGGAACAGCGGCTGTTATGTGTGTAGGTGTAGGTCTTTGGATCAAATATTGTTAAGGGTCAGATTTGATAATCAGACACAGCTCTGTGAGATGCACGTGTGCGCCGATGCCTCTACTAACCCTCCCGCCCTCCCACTATTACTTATAAACACACACAAACACACGCTCTCATGTGCTCTCTAGCATGTGATATTGCAAGAGGTACGGAAAAACATCTCTGCCTGGCGAACAGATGAAACAGTGAGCTCTGCAGATGAGTGAGGCAGCACAGAAACAGGGCGTCGGATGACACACACTCTTGCTCTGTGTATTCCCTGTGATAACCGGCCAGGAACATATCCTAATTAAAACTTTGGCAGCAATTGATTCTAAAGGAAGGAAAGAGTGCTGTTATGATTTTAGATCAACCTTGACTGAGGAAATCTATGCATAAAGTTACCGGCTCTGTAATGAGTGGTATGATAAGAAAAACCTGCAAAACACTTGAAATAAAAACACGCAGCAGGTCATTATTTAAGCTACCTCAGATCAGTGGTAAAAATCGAAGAATATAAATATTCAAGTTAGCAGATTCCATTCATTGCAAACATGATCAAACAAACATCCTGCATGGTCCGCTGTGGAAAAGGCAAATTCTCTCTAATTAATGGGCTCTGGGCTGAATGATTTCCCACTGACAGGCAACTCCTGTAGAGGCGGCATGAACGCGTAAACCAAGGCGGGTAAAACAAGTCTGCAGTGGCAACATATAGCGCGGTGTAGGATACTGTAGATACATTCTTAGTAGAAAATGTGCTCACCATCGTCAGTCCCTTGGTGCCAGTCCTGCGTTGGCATTTGAAGTAGCCTACAACGATTGCAAGGGCAGCAAGCAGACCGCTGACAAGGATTCCCACAAAGACAGAGGAATCTGATGTTCTGGACTTTTTCTCCTTCTGCTGCAAACAAGTTGAAGACATAATGTTGTGGTCAAAAGGAGCTTGTGTGGGACTTTGAAACCACATCAAATCACGGGTCTGTTGGTGGATACGTGCTCTCCCACGTCTTTCAACACAAAGCCAAAATGTTAATCTTAGTTTTAAAAAAGATCATACAAAACAAAAAGTGTTCTTTGTCTTTACAACTACGATTGATCATGTTCTGTTTGTATACAATGGGTTTTTATAATGCTACTAAACTATGCGTTTAGTTGCTTCCTATAAGAGAGGATTTCTACATTACAATATAAGAGAAGTGTAATATACTTACTTGTGCAAATTCACAATAGCTGTGTAAAAATAAATCCGAGGATTAATGCAGTCTGAACTTTACCTAAAACTATTTTTTTTGTGAATCACAATAATAAATAGTAATGAAATAGCTGTATTTTGGACAACAAGAGGTCTCAGACTGGGGAGACCCAACTAGCCAATGCCTTAACAAATGTCTTATTCTCAGTGTACCGCTTACATTAAGCACAGAAAAATGATCTCTTCTGGTTCATCATTAGGGCCAACGATCCGGTGGGTGTTCCTAATTTCCTCCATCAACGCACGCAGGCCTTTTGTGTGAGTAATGGAGACCAAATTTAGTTGAATGGAAAACTTTACCACACCTTCTTTTTCTCAGCGATTCGGGACCACCCTTCCGATGGGACCCAGAAGAACACCGGGAGCAAACCCTAAATCCTCACTCAGTGGGGAGTGGACCCACAGCTGGACTCTTTTGAAAACACCCAGATCTTCGAGGCAGAGAGGAAGAAACTCTTTCGGGCTGAACTTTAGTACAATAAAACCTACTCTCTTCTCCATCTGTGTTGGTCACTTGTGACCCATCACATGTTGCTCCCAGGAATCTTATATTGTCTCATACCGGCTTTGCTTGACCTTACATGGCTTCCTCCAGTTACATTTAGATTGCTGTAGAATAAAAACTAATATTTCATTTGACACTGGAATATTGTTTAGAAGGCGAACAATGTACTCATATCAAACATTCTCTTTTACAGTGAGTAATGACTTTGGGATTTATAGAGGTTTGAAAAAGACCTCTCTCTCTTTTTCCACTACTATCAGCATTGCTGCTTTATTGTGTGTTTATTGTACATGTGTTCAACGAATACAAATGGTTCCTTCGTCATCCAACTTACCCGTACCTCACTGAAGAGAGGAACCTTGTTTTTCTCCCTAGTTGTATCTTCAGCTTCTGGCACTGTAAGCTATGTTTAGTTTCAAGTTGAGTTGGATGGACGAATTCTGCAGATGGCCTTGGCTCAGTGGGATAACACAGTAATGAACTAAACAAGGGCTATGTGAAATATGCAGGGTGGAATCTGACCTTGCTGCTCTGTGCACCTGGACCGAGATAGTGCAGAATGTAACGGTGACTCGCATTTGAAGATCATGTGTTTAATGTTCTTTGAGGAATTTGAGGAAACAACTGCGCCCACAGTTAAGGCCTTCACACACTTGGAGCGATGCGAACTCAAAGCTTTCGCATTCAGACTAATCATAGAGCCGGCGATGCTAATTAGCGACAGTTGGAATACTTCAAATAGATTTGCACCGTTCTTCAGAAATAAAATATGAACAACATGCATTGAGGGAATTTTAGACCTCTTTTTAAAGGTAAATGTGATTTTAAACTCTTTAAATCACATTTATCTTATTCCTAGGTGGAGTAAGCTACGTCCTCTGGACGCATTGTTTAGGGGACCAGACAAGATTTCGGTAAAAGGCACAAGGCTCCAGAAGGTAAACAGGCTCAGAGCCCCCTCAGCATGTCAAAATTGCAGCTGTTGGTTCTGGAGATAAATGGCATACAGGTGATGGAAGGATGTACCGTAGCGGTCAAACGTTTGGACACATTTTCTCATTCAATTCATTGAGAAAGTGCGTCCAAACGTTTGAATGGTACTATACTTCTTTTATACTTACATTGTTTGAGATAAAAGACGTAAACTTATACTCACAGAATCATTTGTTGTCAAAGTAGCCGTGGTCATATGTTTTTGTGGAGTTTCCTTTCCATCATACATCACCTTGGGTTGTGGAGAGAGGGAGCCAGGTCAGAGAAGCATATCAAGTCAGGAGCAGACGGCACACATGATCGCACATGATGTTGTAACCACAACACAACACTAGTTATCCAATGAAATCACATCTTCCTTAAAAAGACAGATCTGTTAAACTGTTGTTTGTGTGAGGTCTTTGTTAGAGTTTTTAGGCCTATAGTATTTGACGATTAAAACTAATTCTAAATCTAAACATGGTTCATGGATGTACCTGTCCGGCTTTTCCATCGGGAGCTCCAGTGGGATTTGTGGTGATTGAGGTGTTGTTGTCATTCAAAGGAGAAGGCGAAGTAGCAGATTTTTCAATGACAGGAGCTGATGAAGTAATGGCATATGTCCCTAAATAACAGAAGCCAAGGACAATGCTTTTATTTACAGAGCAATGTCGAGGACACGTGTTTCATAAGGCAACAAAGCATGACCCTGGAATAAATCAAAAAGATGTATATGTATATACATCTTTTTGTATGTATACATATGACATAATCAACATACCAGTAGTGTTTGTAGTTGCAGTAGTTGCATTTCGATCCTCACACATCACCTCAGCTAAATGAGCAGGAGACACAGAGAGAGAGACGGCAACTCAAACACTTTCCCCCCATGAATCAATGCTTTTCGACGCATGCAGGAACTCACGCTTGGCCTGGTGAACCAAACCTAGTGCCACACTCAAAAGACGCCAATCTGATTTGGCACGTGATTTTAGAGGCTCTCACTAATTAGTAGTCACGTGTGGACCAATTTCTCTCAGCATTTCCAAATAAACCTGCTCGGAAGGTCATGACCTCCTAATCACATATCCATCTTCTGGGAGACCTCCCGTTTCTGTAATAATCTGGATAGTGCTGAAACCTTTCTGACATAAGACAATTATAGAAAGTAGATTTTTCTAAAGTTCATGAAAAGATTGTTAGGGGAATTGATAATTCCAACGTTAGATTAACATAAGGACACGTGAACATCTATAAAAATGATAAATATTTGCTAACTCTCTCATTAGGACTATATGTTAATATCCATCTACATTGTGTTAAGCAATGCTTAAGTATCAATAATCCATATATGGTAGACCCAATCAGGGATCATAGACTCTGTAATATACAGTGCCCTCCTTTTCATCCTTTTTTATTAGTATTTATGGAATGTTTTTAAAAGCATTCACTGTCTAACAGTTCAGCATTACGAGTTGGCTGCAATAGGAATGCTTATTTATGTTTTATGTTGTTTCCCCTCCAGTTTCTTAGAACGATGAAATGGTTTTCTTGTTAAACACACATAACATGAACTGATTCTGCACACATGCTGCACATAAATACATGTGCATGTGATGCACATGGAAATACACACATATATGCACCAATCTACTCCCTTTAAACTGTCACATGCTTAAACTCTCTGAACCATGTTCAATAGCACTCCACCATTGTGGCCAGAAGCGCATGAGACAGCTGTGTGAGAAATCTCAGTGTGTTTTCAACCCCTCAGCCCCTCAGCATCAACACGAAGCCTTAGGACCTCCAGTCTCAACACAAACACAAGGAAACGAACAGAACACTCCTACTTTGTAAACAAAACCTTTGCGTGTCCTTCCGGAGTGTTTTTAATGGGCTCGGAAAGCGCGAGGCCAAAGCTGCATATACTCTGTAACCTCTGGGCTCCGTTATGATCTTCACTACTGTGCTACATCTTAGTGAACGTCCCTGCCGAGGCCGTCCTCCTTGAAGCTTTCACACCGGGGGTTCCAGCCTTTGACGTGGTGCGTGGTGTGTAGCCATGCCAGACGCAAGGAACAAAATCATAGGTTAAGGAGAGAATGACGCTGAGTGGCAGTTCAAATGCAGCGCTTCTTTTGCCTGTGGTTGGGAAAATCAACTGTGATTATAAGGCAGCATAAAGGCAGCTATATCCCTAACAAATGTAATACCCTTGATACGTCAAGTGCCTCACAGCCCCATGCGTGCTGACATATTTAGCACACAAAGCCCCAGGCAACGTTTTGGCTCAGTCAATGAAAATTCATAAGACTACAATTGTTATTGTTGACGTGCTGCTGGAATATGTTGAAGCTAAGGAGTCGCTGGTGTGTGAGCTGACCTAATGTACTTCATGCTTTGAGGGAACATAAGCAGCTCCTGAGCGTAATCATGTTCTAGATATCAGGTGGATGAGTAAAGCAAGCCAAACCCCTTAAAAGATTGTCAAGAATGTCCTACATGACATACATGTCATAGTTCCAGGAGGGTCTTGTAATTTCACGTTAAGCAAGCACCTTATTTTTTCCGTGCACCTGCATCACGCATACATTTTTTTCTTTCCTTTTGTTGATTACTCATTTCACACATTTGTTGAAATGGCTCAAAGTCGGAATTTCTTTTTACACAAGCTTAGCCTAAGCTGTTTTACATTTTTTTCTGTACTCAGTCTATTCTCTGTGATAATAATTTACACACAGCCGTTCTGTAATGACAAGTGTGTGTTATAGTCAACTCATGCAATTCTACAAGTGAGGAGGTTTAGTTTGGGGAAGAGCGAGGCAACAGCAGCAGAAACAAACACGGTCACAGCTGATTAAACGGGTGCAGTGAGTGTTTGAGCAGGGGACAGCAGCATGTCTCCTCAGCTCCTTCCCTTGCTGCCTATGTGCTGTCAGACAGCTGTGAAGTGTCTGACATCATGCGTAAGAAGGGGAAAAGTTTCAGCTCTAAATCTCGCATTTGACCTCCACCCAGAGTCAAAACCATTGCTGTCACTGTGTGCCACACCCTCTTCTCCGTTACTTCCCCCTGACATGTGTATGTCCACAAAACACCCCCAAAATCTCCCCTCTTTTCTTTCCATTCCCTACCAGGGGAAATGTCCCTACAGCTTAACTTGGGACTTCTGGGACTGAGACATGCCAGAGGACTCCTCCTCCCATCACTCCATCACAGCCATTTAACATGATGGAGAAGAAGAAAGAGCATATCCTCCCCTTCCAGCTGTGAGCCTCGGCCCTTTGTCAACTACTGGCTACATTAACAGTTCCTGTGATCATAGATATAATCTTTAGGTAATAATGTGGTCTCATAGCGCACCACAATTGATAATCAAATTAAACAGTATACCACTAACTGTAACCATGGAAACCACACAAGTAGTCTTTAACAACTATTTTCTACAGAGATCAGCGCATACAGGAACACATGGTCTGTGTCCCTGAACGTGAGAAGTTTTTTTTTTTTCCCGCACAAACGGGTGGCAAAAGTTAACTTTTTCGCCCTGACAACACCCCTGGTGTTTACAGACAAAATACAAGAAAAAGGAAAAGGAATTAACAACAGGTGTGGAATGTTATGAATGCACATCCCGGGACAGGATGTGGCTGTCACAGCACACGGCTCTGTGACCTCGTGCAACCGCAGAGGTGAACATGCTGGTTGTTGGAGATATCGGGCTGGAATACAGGTCACTGTATACAGGTCACTCCTGCAGTAGGATTAAACACACACACTAAGCATTGTCATGCGGGCACATGTCAGTGGCTTGATGTGATAAAGCACTGGAATTGTAACTGACATTTGTCTTTCCTTCATGTGCCATTATCATGGCCAAAAGCCGAGGGAACCCTGGGAGGGACAAAAGCAAAGAAGGAAAAGGAAAACATGCTACTGACCATTGTTTTGATTCAACCTCTAATTTACTCATTAAAATAGTTTCAGCAGAAAAGTAAAACTTGAACCTGTTTCCAAAACAGTCCATCCATTTTTTTCGTATTGAAGACTGTAAACACCAGCTGCTCTGCACACTCGTGTCAGAACCGGGCTGCGACAGCAGATGTCCGTGGACCGGTTCCAGCCGCTGTCTTTGCATAAGGCCGTGTGTGGGAGGGGTGCAAAAAGAAATTCAAACCTACGGCCCCGAACAATCTGGCTTCGATATGATTGAGGCTAAGGAGCCAAAGTGTGAGAGCAAGATTGAGAAAAAAAAAGTGTGATCGCCCTCCCGATATATAGCTGAAGTCTCCAGTTTGGCTTTAAGAAAGAAAAAACCTGCCCCGAAGCACATTTTTGATACACATACAAAACAAATGAATAAGGTCAAAAGTCTTAGGCAAAAAGGTACGGTCTTATGTTTTTAATTAAGTATAAAGTCTTCAACGGCGTACCTTTTACCAAACATTAATTATGAGGAGCAATTATTCCTGCAGTCAAGGCTCATTAAATGTTTTTATTCTCAGAGGTTAGCAGTATGCCCTCCATAAATACAGCCCCAATACAGGGCTCAAGGAACACTAAGGAGAGCCAGCTTGCCCGGGGCGAGTCAAATGTGGGGCTAGTAAATCTAGAAACTCATTTGTCCTAGAAAAAATACTTTAAAACATAGTTTTTTTGGGGGGGTCTGATAATTGGAGCCATCTCGCTTCCTTCTCATCTTGAGTTGCACATGCAAAGCACGCTAAATGATGAATTCTGCTGTGGCAAAAGCATGACCTGCCCTTTGGTGGCAGTATATGGTGACAATATAGTGGAAAATAGGGGGTCAGAGTAAAGGAGGCAAAGGTAAAGTGGGGCGTCTCATGTCATACTATTATAATAGGAGTCCTAATTGCATTACACATAGCGGATAAGACAAAGTTTATAGACTGAAGCAGATTCACTTGTTTAAAGACTAAACATTTTGTGATTTTATAATGGTGAAAAAAACAGTCAATTTCAGCAGGTTGCCAGGGGATCGTGGAACAATAACTTCACCCAAACAGCAGTAATTGGAATAGAAAGATTTGAATGTTAACACACCGCTCTGCTTTTCATTAAAACTGTTTGACGGCGTAAATATTGTTGCTAGATGATCTACTTCTCCGAGTCAACTCCTTGTTGCTGATGATCGTTCCTCCCGGCGACAGCGGCTTTGTTTTCTCTTCAAGAATATGTTTTGCTTTGAACAAGAGTTAGCTCTAAATGAAGATAATTCACGGCGGGAAAATACGTTCTAAAAAGGTCCTCCCCCTCCTCTTGTTATGCTGATCGTCTGATAAAAGCCAAGAGACGAGGTAACACAGCGGACACTGGTGACAGGCCGGGCTTGGTAGAACATTTTAATGGTTTCAGCTGCAGCCTGACCTGCCTCTCCCACATGTAGAAATCACTGAAGCAAATCGGCCCTTTGACAGAACACAGGCTCCAGGTTTTAAATACCCTGCGAGCTCACGTGGCTCCCAAGCCTTTACTTTGGGCCCGAGTGGATAACACGCCCGAGGCTGATGTAAGACCACTATCTGCCAAGGCTTATAGAAAGAGACCCACACCCACCAGCGGATGACGTGAATACAACTTTTAACATCGCAACTCGGGACAGAAAGAATGCTGGTCAAAAGCCGAGAGCCACGAGAAAAAGTGCGACGGTATTCGGGCCCGTGTTTACGTTGGCAGGGCCGAAGCTGCTGTCTGAGAAACAAAAGTCTCGTGAATTAATCTGCTGACAGAAACTGCTGCTGATTTCGACTTTATAGAACGTGCTGTCTTTTTGCACACGGCGTACACACGGTGCATTGGTGGCTTAACCGCAGACAAACTTAGATGGGCCCGAGGCTCTGACTTAACAGCAGAAACAGTCATTGTAAATGACAACCTGAAAATGAGCAAGACGTTATGCTTCTCCCCTTTGCCACAACAGAGTGAAAGCTCGGGTTTTTCCCCAACGTCTTGCGAGAGAGACAGCTTCAAACGTCCTCCAAGAAGCTATGAATGACATCATCCAACATTGCAGTCCATGCCCATTTCAGCGCTACATATTTGCACGCCTGCATAACTACTGAATGACAGCCATGGGAAGTGGGAACATAAACTAAATGTGTTTGCCGGAGATTCTGGATGATTGGATTGCTCATACATGACCCATGCGTTTGCTCTGATTGCAAAGTCAAACACACTTACTCATCAAGTGCATCAGAGGCGCTCATCCTGTCCTTTTTCTATTATTTCCTCCATCCACTCTTTGCCTGACTCTCTGCTTTGATCCACTACATTACATTACATGTCATTTAGCTGACGCTTTTACACAAAGCGGCTTACAATAAGTCGCCTTGGATCCTTCACATCTAAACAAGACGTTTGCTAGATGCAAATATTATTAACTGAGCTTTTGTGAGGCTGCAGCCTACAGTATGCATTCATTCTGCACAGTTAATAGTGTGATGCCACCATTGTGTTTTGACTCCATTTGACTTGACTGGTTTGCATTGTTTCCAAATGCATGACAACGAGAGAGAAGATGACAGTCAGACTCTCCTCTGCTTATGAATACAATAAAGCATTGTTTAATCAGTTGGCACACCAATTCCCTCTTCTGGGGCTAATGACTAATGAATCATTGCCACCAAATGGGAAGCGGAATGGATTAAACCTCGCAATCAAACACATTTCCACATTGAGAATACAACACAACGCACGGAGCTGTGCAGTGGAGCTCCTCTGCATGTGTCAAAATAAAATGACAATGACAAAGAGTTTTCTTTGTGCACATCAAGCCATATGGAGCAAGAACCATTAATACGGTGTATATCTTTGAATGAATAATGCCCGTATACACAGCTGTACTGGGAGGGGAGCGTCAATGAGGAGACAAATGGTCTCTTGTGACTTGGAGACACAAGTATGCAGACGACCGACAGAGCGACCAAACTGGCAGGTTATAGATCATGGTAATAATTACAGCTGTAAACCAATGCATATATTAAAAAGAGAGGTTTATGAAGCTCGTTTCTTTGGAGCACCACAGGAGCCTCTGAAGCCTCACACCGCATTGCCAGTTGGACACAAGTGCCGACAATGTAGCGCGTCCGTGTGATCGGCGGGTCACAGGTTCAAGGACGGGCCTGCAGGCTTCAGACAACACATCTATGTTGTTCTTAAAGTAGGAATCAGAAAGCTGTCTGCTGAAACCTGAAGCAGGGGGAAGACGTTTGGGGCCAATTTAACGTATTGCAACTTTAATTTCTCGGCAGGGTGCGCCCAGAATAATTAGATTCCCATGTAAATCTAATTACCATCTGTTAAGCTGCTGATGCAGAAAGTATGTGGTGTTTCCTTTTATTGTGCAAACTACAGGCATGTTCCACCTTCTCATGATATCTCCCCCCCCCCCCCCCGTTAAAGTAAACCATTAACTACTTCCATCCCTCTGAAACACTCCTCCACCCGAGGTCACCCCAGACATACCACGCCTCGGTGCTCCTATAGATGAGTCCTAATGGATCTGTAGAAGTCGTTCCGTACAGCGACACCATCCAAGTCATACGTCACCCTGCAATTAGCAGCAGCCTGATTTGGAGCGGACTGCCCACTGCAATACAGGGTTGAGCACACAGACACACACACAAAAGTGACCAGGGGGAGTATTTTATGCTCGCTCTGAATCGCTTGTAACTTGTCACGTGTAGCACACTGAAGACATTAAATATCTTTATTACTATTAGAACAAACTGATGTTATTTTTAACACTAAAAAAAGACTTTTCTTCTTTTATGCTGCATTGTGTGCTTGGTTCGTATCCCTTCACACACATTCACACAGCTGTGCCCAGATGCACTTCTGGTTGTAAAGCATAATCTTTCTCAATTGCAACTTTCCACTCTTGAGTAAACCCTTTGTGTCTGCAGACGCCCCGCTGCTAACCTCTGCGTGCAACCACGTGGCAGAACACTTCAAAGCGACCCCCCCCCCCGCCCCCCCAACTAGCAGGTACAAAAAGCCATAGACGCACACAAACTGAAACAGAGGAACCGCAAAAAGGTTTACATCGGCAAATAGCACAAGACTGTGTATGTCCATCACATTCTAAGAAGAGCGGGAATATTTGGAGCTGCAAAGGAAGATAAGCCAACAATAACAAGAGGTCTCACCTCTGAGCATCAGAGCGCAGAGCACCAGAGCTCCAGCCATCCTTCTCCAGGGGCCATTCATTCTCCACGCGGACGCAGACACCCTGCCGGGTCGGGCTGTGTGAGGGTAAAAAGTGTGCGTGAGTGATGTTAAGTGAACGTGCGAGGGCCGGCGGAGGCGCGGGTTTCCTGTGAGGTCTCGGTGAGCGGGACAATCAGGCGGAATAAAGCCTGGCTTGTGTTCCGTTGCTCTTTATACGGCTCCACTCCTTTTTGGCCTCTCTCTCTGTCTATCTCTCTCTCTCTCTTTCCACACCCATTTTTCTATCCGCCTGCTTCCCCCGATGCAACCGTCCTTACGTTCTCCCTCGCCCCTGAGTGTGTGTGTGAGAGTGTGTGTGTGTGTGTGTGTGTGTGTGTGTGCATGCACCACAACCAGATGTTAGTGGGTGACATCCTGTTGAGCTTTATGTGAACTGCAGTTTTGTTTCCTCGTGAAAAATGTGGTGCAACGGTTTTTTATTTCAATTTGAGGGGGGGTTGTGCTCGGACTTTAGGAAACCTCCAGGTAAGGCTTTACAAATGCACACTTTCTCTCCACTGGCTGGTCCATGAAAAGAAAGTACAGTGGCTTAACACTTAAATCTACAACGGGCTTCAGCTCTACTTGGAAAGGATTTGTGGGCAAAAGGCTGTAAGCTGACCGTGTCTTTATTTTCAATCTTTGAAGATGCACCCGGTAAACAGGAGGCGCTCCTCCCGCCGCCTAGATGTCGTGTACATTGCCCGAGAGGCCCGTAAAAAAAGCACATGGCGTCACACAAGGACGCCTGGCCCCTGGTTTTTGTGCGTCCCCGGACAAATGACTGACAGCTTGCAGTGAGTCATCCATTGAACCGCGCGAGTACACAAACCTATACGTGTTGAGTGCGCATGGCTTTTTAAAAATGCCGTAACCACGGTCACTGGCGGCATTACATCATTAATTACGCCATATCAGCAGAAAAAGTGACTCACTGTTGAACCAACGTGCGGTGTGTAGCAGGGGCGTGATGCCCGGCTCGTTTCACTGTTCATGTTCACACAGAGATCCAGTGAAGTCAGTCAGGCCACATCTGGAAGCACTGCGCCGGGGTTTTCGGGGACTGCCTAGAGACGCGCTTGTCAAACAATGCACCATATGGGGGCTGAAATAAGGCAAAATCAGGCGGGTCACCCTGCAGGTTTCAAACCAGATGCGTGAACCAGTTTGTTAAGGGAGCCTTGAAATGACATTTGCAGTGAATCAAATGGAAGAGACATTGTAGAATCTGTAATGAATGAAAGCAGTGAGTCCCGGTAGATTTTTGTATTCATTTCTTTATTTCTCCTGTGTTTATCCCTAATGGCATATGACAGAATACACTCATCCACTTTGTGGAAAGGAAGCGTGGGAATTGGATTAAGTCCAGCAGACGTTGAGGAGTTCACCAGCCCGGCCGGACCAAACGCCAGCAAACCGCCCCAGAGGACCAGGACGATGCTGACTGGTGTAACGTCTACCTTTTTGTACCTCGTGCTTGGTTTTCAACCCAATTATGTCTTTACGGGGTGACACCCCTGGCAATGACATGCATTGGGTAAGAAGAAGAAAAATACATCTACAAAGTAGCTTTTAAGTCTTTATGAACATTTGTATTTGAGCAAAATAAATATACAAACATGTTTTCAAATCTAATCCTTTCCATTGGACAGTTGCTTGGCATTTGTTTCCGTAGGATTATCTTTGCACAACACGCTTAAAAAATTCGTTTGTGAGGCATGTGACGTTTCCTCCTACGGATCCTGACTGGCAGACGTGTATTACTTGAGGATTTAACTTATATCTCTTTCTTCATTCCTTTTCTCCATTTAGTCACTCCCCCTGTCTGACGATCGGACGTATTTTGCTTTATTTGCACGAGTCTCTGTAAAGTGTGTGTGTGTGGGGGGGGGGGTCTCGGAGGCATTACCAGGGCATCATGAGGATCAGCACATGGTAGCAGAGACCTCAGGCACTCTGATTGGCTTTGCCTTGGTTGGGAGGGTTTGATGCTTTGTGAGTCCGCTGGATTCCAGTTGGCTGCAACCATCATCAGAGCAGGACTGACATGTGACAGGAGGGACAGTACGGGCTAAAATACTTAACCCAATAAAAGTCCTGGTTGTGGCCTCATTTCGCCTCATCTATGCTCATGGAGTTATGTTGTTTTTCTTTCTCCAGTATGCTTTTTTCTACTCTGGCATGTAAAATATTGTTAATACTATAATATTTAGTTTTGCCGTCAACACCGGTTAAATCTGAAAAAGTGAATTTTGTTCTTTTTTGCCTTTATTATGTTATAATCATTCTGCTTTGGGCAACAATTGAATTCATGTTGTTGAATCTGCATGAACAGTTGGCAGTTGTGTATTGTGTATTTATATATTACATGAAGTACCAGTCAAATGTTTGTACACACTTTCTCATTCAATTCTGCATATATATATATATATATATATATATATATATATATATATATATATATAGGCCTATATATATATATATATATATATAGGCCTATGTATGTATTTTTTAATTCTACATACATAGGCCTATATATATATATATATAGGCCTATGTATGTATTTTTTTAATTCTTAATACCTTTCTGGAATGTCGTGACATTAAGCTGTCAAATAAGCTCGAGGTCATTTGGTCATCTACAGTTAAATGAAGTCATTAAAAAAAAAACATTCCTGTAAATTGAGGCTTTCCTGTTTTCCTTTTCATCAGTGCTGTTCCTAGATCAGGAAGCTCAGCGCAGGGAGGCTTCGCAGGCACGGAATATCAGTGACGCTCTGCCCAATGGAGTGCAGGAACTCTCTCCATGTCATGACAGTCGTCCCCCAACATCCCGCCTACCTGCCCGTCTGTCGCCACACCCGCATCTCAATTCCTCTTCTGTTTCCTGCCATTCTCCTTGTGTGATGTTTGCCAATAACCAAGAATCCAACCTTCCCCGTGCAAGTGTGCAGGCAGACCCAGCAATGACCCCCCCCCCCCCCACCAGTGGGAGACAAACACGGAAATGTATTTATACTCACCCGTAACCCTGCAGCTTGTGGCATCTTGACGGGCTGCACTGCAGGTCTGTTAGACATAGGACCAGCTGAATACAGGACAGACCTGGCCAGCTGTTTTCCGCCCCATAATGGGGGGGGGGGGGGGGGCGCATTAGAACATAGTTTCCCACAAAGAGAGCTGGGTTGAAAGGCCAACAAGGAAAGAGAAAACGGGGGGAAACCAAATAGTGTAACACAGCTGGACCTCTACAGAATACAGAATAGTTGTCAATGTAAAGCTGTCTGCCTCACATGTGGCTGCAGCACAAATGTGGGAACAATGTGCTTATAGTTTGTTCTGAATAAATCAAATCTTACTGGGATCCATTAAAGCATTTTAGGAAGTTGATTTGAAGACAAACATTCCTTGCTTTATAGGTCAATTTGATCACAAGTCGCCCACTGAACAGAAAGCAAAAAAACAAACAAATATTTTGAGTCATTATGTCGCCGTAAAATTCTCTTGACAGAACTCACAAGTCCTATTGAGGAAGAAACTGCCACGAGCAAACAGTTAACATAACAGAACCCTCCCCAAACTCTTTTGGGATTACATCATATTTTGGGAAACCCAAAGAACACAATTTACAAACACACACACACACACACACACACACACACACACACACACACACACACACACACACACAGACTCAATACTGTTGAATCTGCAGGAACAACAAACTGCAAACTGGATACACAGTCTCAAGGAACTGCCAAAGATCCTCCCTTTCCTCTCCTCCTCCCCCACCTTTCACTCTCCCACCGCCGTGATCCCATACAGATGTTCTTCTTTAGGAGCCGACCAGCTATTGTTCATAAAAATCAATTTCATGGTCCAGACGGACCCAGCCCAACACGCGCAGCATCCACGCCCGTCCAGTTTCACGAGCAGACAAAACTGCGTGATCACGCGTGATCGAAGGCACAAAAACAACTGCAAGACCTTCAGAGGATCTTAATAACAAAACTCACAAGCACACACTCTCTTTCTGTCTCATTTTCTGTCCCCCGACCACCTCTCTCTCAACTCTGCTCCTTGTCCCCCCCCCAGCTTCCCAAACAAGTCCTTTACCTAGTTTGTCCTGAAAATGTTATCCTCCACAGGCCTTTAACTGGCCCTAATTGGCTCTGATTGGGTGACTCGGTAGACATCTTGAAGTAATTCATAGCTCAAGGTTGAGAGGGCCGTGCAGGTTTGGGAGTGCTTTGGGTCCCCGAGGTTCTCAGTCTTCACCCCGGATCCCAATTTCCTTTGGAGTGCATCTGTTAAGGAGCTATGCATATTAATGCAGAAGAAAGCACTTGCCCGAGATCGAGAGCAAAGCATTAAGCATTTCAAAAGGCATTTCCAAACTTACATTTCATTCCTGCATATGCTTATGTATAATTCCAAGTTTTGCAATTATATTGAGGAATCTTTTATTGGTCCTTAATGTCAGAGTTGTATAACTAATCTGTTTGATTTAGTCGAAAAGACCAAGAAATAAAAGGCTTTTACCAGAAGTTTTATAAGCACTCTTCACGTTTCAAACACAGTCCCTTGTTTTGATCGGGACTTTCCTCACTTCTGAGTGACTGTTCTGTCATCCATCAGAACCAGGAGGGGCCACAGGAAATCAATCGCTGCTGCTGCTTGCGCGACACCAGACGAGAGCGACCCTCCGTAGCATTGCCATCCAGTGAGAAAACAATAAAGTGCGTGTGTTCTGGCCCGATAACGTGGGATTAATTCATTAGAGTGCTGGTCGCCCAGATGGCTCTCATTACGTGTATCTGCTCAATTCATCTCTGGAGTTCTTTCACATGAGTCAAACTGTCTGCAGTAAGAGCGCTACATCAGTAAAAAACCTCTCCCAGCCAGTTGTATTGACTGATATTATGGTCTCCAGGGGCCTTATTAAAAAACAACCCAAGTTCAAATACAGCTTTGCTGAAACAGATGTTAAACATTTTTATTCTAAATTAGTTTGACTGCAGTATGTGTGCCTGTACTTGTTTACTTGTGTAAGTCCTAGTCATCTATTAAATGCAGGTGTTGATATGGAATTACTACTTTGATGTTTTTTCTGAGTGGTAATTTTGATCACAAAGTTATTTCCCACAACAAACCAAGAGATGGCGCTACAGGATCAGGCTTTTTA